GGTCCCGACACAGAGGGCAGGGTGGTCCCGACACAGAGGGCAGGGTGGTCCCGACACAGAGGGCAGGGGGCCCCACAGTCCCAGGGAGACAGCACAGCCAAGTTTAGGATGTGGTTCGCCTACAACCTGAGGAGTGTCAAATGTTAACTCCAGAGGAGCCCAGTCCTCTGCACACCATCCCAGGCAGGAAGTCTGACCACCAGCTGCCACAGAAGAGATGTCCCAACAGCAGCAGCCGCAGTCGCCCTGAGAGAAAGTCTCTGGAGACCAGGCCCAGCACCCAGAGCAACTCGGCCTTGTTGTCTGTGGGGAGGACAGTCCAGCTGCTCTGCCCTTGGGAAGATCCCTGAGTGGGGGCTGCACTCTCGGCCCTGGAACCCTCTTAGAGGTCCAAGAGCCTTTGCTGGGTCTGACTTACAACCTAAACCAAAGCAAAGCCAATGTGAAGGAAAAAAACCACAAAAACTGACCACAGTCCTTTTCTGGTTCTCAGTTTATGACAGCCAACTGTCCAGTCACATGGGGTCCATGAGCAGGCACGCGGACACATGCACTCACTCCCACACACTCACTCCCTCCTGTTGCACACTCGGGTAACGGGTCTGACAGATGTCCTTGTTGGGTTACCACCCACGGTGGCATCTCCCTAGGGCTGAGTCCACTCAGGATCACTCCTGGAACTTGGTCCTGGTGAGCAGCAGAGGCCCTCTGGTTCCACGAGCACCTTTCTCCAGCCAGGAGGGTCCAGGGCCTGGCTCCACAGCTGGCTGTCCCCAGGCTGGAGTCCTTGCACCCTCAGAAGTCCCAAGATTCCAGCCACCTTAGCCCTGCCATCGGACTGAGGGGGTTCTGGGCCAGGGGACCAACCATCCCGTAAGCCAGCGGGTGGAAGAGGTAGAAGCTGTGAGAGAGAATTCAGAAGGAAGTAGCTGGCATCCTGCGCTGTGCTGACACAGGGCCTTTGGGAGCCTCACTACACAGAACCACCCCTGCAGCCCCACACCGGTCTGTTTGCCATTCAAGCGCACCGCACAGTAGTCAGAGTCTAGATGCTGGGTTAGCGACAGTAAAGGAAAGAGCTCCAAGGTGAAAAAACGTTCCAAACACTCCCAAGTTCTGGTGGTGGGTTGCTTGGCCCAGATTGTTTGTTAAAATGTGTTTTTAGCCTCTGAGCCCTCATGAGCTCTCAGGATACAGCCTGCCATTCCCGCTTCAAGCTTTTCTGGTCCTGTCTGGTCCCTAAAGGCACTGATACTCAGTGATTCTCACCAGGAGGACTTGTGAGGCCAGCAGTGGGGAAGGGACAGAAGTGGCCTTCCAAAACTCACCTTCCTTCCAGGGATTCTGATCCGACCACCTCACCCTCTCCCTCACCCACCCAGAACCACTGTGATCCAAGAGGGGCCCCCTTCCAGGTGAGCTGTGTGGTACCAACGCTGGAAACTGCAGGCAGAGGCAAGAGTGCGGTGCCGGCCCCATGTCTCCCCTAGCTGGGATCGCCTGGGGAGCCTCTCTGGGGAGGGGCCCAGGAACAGGTAGCTTCTAGCAGCACCCCAGGTGATGGGAAACTGCATCCAAGCTCCATGCACCACTGAGGCCTGGGGGTGGGGATGCACTGCTTACCTGTAGGCAGTTCCCAGGAGCAAGCTCAGGATTCCCCACAGGTGGATGCAGCTGGCCAGGCGCCAGGCACCAAGGCGCAGGAGCGTGTCCCACAGAATCCCTATTGAAGAGGAGAGACAGAGACTCAGTGTCAGCCTTGTGGCTCCAGCAGTCATCCTCCCTCTGCGTGGAGCACTGACCTGTTAGCATGCAGGAGAAGAGCATGGCTGGGAAATAGTGGTGGAAGTAGAGGATCCGGCCCATCAAGAAGAACGGGAAGTAATGGAGCATCCAGCCAAGCAGGGCCTGACCGCCTCCATGCAGCAGGACCTGGGACAGCCCTGGATGGACCCCAAGCAACACAGCCCCAGTCAGAGGACAGGGTCTTCCTGCTGGGTGACCTTGAGTAAGACCTATCAGCACTCTGGGTCTCCCTTCCCTCATCTGCCCAACAGGAACAGCCCGGCTGCAACTCAAGAGCCCTGGTCAAGACCCGGCTGGTGAGGTCCTGGCACCAATGGCAGAGGCAGCCCCTACAGAACCTCTGCCAGCTTCCCTCACTGAACCCAAGCCTCACTCCTCTGCTGCCACACAGACCTTTAGAGTAGGTGACAGGGGCATAGGTGGGGTGGGGGTGGGGGGCAGAGATGAAGACACTGGGGGGCTATGGCTGTTCAGACAGGGAGCTGAGGAGGCAACAGGAGTCTGAGTGGCTCCTTAGATGCTAGGCTCCACGCCTGCCTGCCCGCTACAGCTACCTGGGAGCAGTAGGTTAGGGACCCACACACTGTGCTCAGGGGCTCCTCTCTGCCCACTAGAGAACAGGACTATGGGGCAAGGGAGGGGCAGCTCAGTACACAGCACAGAGGTTCAAAGTGGAGACTCTGAAGTCAGACTGCTTGCATTCAAACCTCAGCTCTATTACGTACTGCTGTCGTTCAGTATTGTTCAGTTGGTTCCAACTCATAGCGACCCCGTATAGGAGGAGCTGGTGAGTTGGAACTGCCGACCTTGCAGTTCAAACTGCCTTTTCAGTCAAGTGCTTATCCTACAGCACCACACGAGGACTCCAGTATCACTTACTAGCTCTAGATATTAAGACAAGTTCCTTAATGTCTTTGTGTCTCCATTTCCTAGTCCATACAAGTGGGCTAATACTATCCTACCCTACAGGGTGTTTGGGGAATGTGATGGCACCATAGGATAAGCACTGGACTGCAAACCACAAGGTCGGGAGTTTGGAACCCACCAGCAGATCTGTGGGAGAAAGAAGAGGATTTCTGTTCCCACAAAGATATAAAGTCTCGGAAACCCTAGACAAAGTCACTATGAGTCGGAACGGTGTCCACAGCACTTAACAACAACAGCAAGGGTATTTAACTCAGCATTGGGATGTGTGTTGATTGTTCACTTTAAAAACCAAAGGAGAAGGGAGGCAGGCAATGAAGGCAAGCTGGCCGGGCCTCCCCAGAAGTGCAGGCATCCTGTCAGCTGCCAGTCAGAGAGGGAGGCCCAGGGACCTGACCTTCCACCTCCACTGGCAGGCGCACCCCTCTCTGCACAGCCACAGCAATGAGGCTCCCTGTGAGGAGGTAGAGGGCAATGCTCAACAGATTCAGCCACCAGACCACCTACACGGAAGGAGAGCAGGAGGGTGAGAGGGCAGGTAACACTGCAGTCAAATGTTCCAGGGCCCAAATCGGAAGGCACAGGACACTCACCGGGTTGCCAAGCAGATAGACTCGGAAGTCCGTGTCATTGGCCCCTGAGAATCGCAGACCCTGTGGGCAGAGAGTATACTGCTGAACCAAGGCCCAGCTCACCCCCAGGCACTGGGTCCTCCAAGGGGCGGGAGACTGGGGGGCTAGGGCAGAGGCTCAAAGGTGCAAACCCTACAAGAGCTGTCTGGAAAGGCTGGCCAGCTCTTTTCACCCTCACCTGTCCACCCCAGAACATTCCCCAAGTCCCAATCTCAAGGGTCTCCTTTTGTTTCCATTTCTGGGGTGGAGCTCTAGCTTCAAGCATTACCTGGTAGTTGATAGGCCAGTGCCAGGGTTTGGAGGTAAAGTCATTGTCCTTGGGTTTCAGGCCACTGTTCCCCTGCAAGATGGCGGTCAAAAGAAAAAAATTCAAGATGGACCTGTAGGGTTGGCAGAACCCAGGAAGTCAAATAGTTCTGACATATGACCAACTGTTGAGAACTACCCTCTCTCCTCTTCCCACTTGCAGAAAAATTCGGTGCTCACTCTCAGCCTGCCCACCTGCCTACAGTTGCTTCAGTTCCCCCAAAGGAGCAGGCCTCCGTTTCCCACAACAGGACCTTCTAAGATTGAGAGAAAGAAGGCAAAGTGGAGTGGGGGGGTCTATTTGCTATGGGCACAAAATACAGACCCATCTTCCAGGCCAAGGATAAGGTCAAGACGGGGTTGTGAGCGGGGTGTGGGAGGCCACCTTCAGACGGAACCCTGGAAATTCTGAAAGAGCCTAGATATGGAGAATGGCACTTTAGGGCAGTGTTTCTCATCCTTTCCCCACATTCTCCTCCCCTCCCCAACTCCAGACAATTTTCCCTCTAAGCTTCCCCATAGAATATGAATACCATGCTGTACTGTCTATGTCTGTCTGTGCCTTATATATGAACAAGGATAAGATTCTCTGCCCCAGCAGTGACCTGCCACCCCTGAGGAGTGCCACTGTCCTGCTGAGCATGCTCACTGGAGCCGGAAGGGCCCAGACACAGCCCTAATCCAGTATTCTGTCTCTCTGTAGCAAAAACAACAAGGAATAGGATGAGAGTCCCGGGCCTCAGCCTCACTGCCGGGAAACCCTGAGAAAAGCTTGTTCCTAGAAGGGGAGTAAAGAGGTAATAGGGTCAGAGTTTCTCGGCCCCAGCACTACTCATCTTTTGGGCTAAGTCTTTGTCCTGTACAGTGTGAGATGTTTAACATCCTGCCCTCTAGTCATGAGAGCAAGTAGTACTTCCTCCACCTGTCACTTAGGACAGCCAGGAATGTCCCCTGGGAAGCAAAATTGGCCTAGGCTGAGAGTCACTGATCTAGCCCAAGAAAGATCCAGAAGGTCTGGTTGAGTGAACCGCCACCCAGTACCTTCCTAATCCAATTTTAGAGGGTTGAGAACAGCTGGCAGGCCTCTTCAAGGCCAAAAGTACCATCGGACTGTCAGTCCCAAAGGGGTCAAGTACGCAGCCCTTGACCCACTGTGGCCACCTGAATGGCCCCTCGAAGGAAGACGGAATCAGTCCAGACCACTTGGGTGACCGCTGAGGCAAATCAGTGCCACACTCAGGGACTCCAACCTGAGCTGTGACAAGCCAAGGGTACTATTCACTATGTTCAACCCTGAGAAACCCAGCTCTTTTGTTGAACCAAGTGATAGAAGGAGGCAGAGTTCTATAACCCAACCCTGATAAAAATCTAGAACGGGCTCCTTCCAGCTAAGCTCAGCTTTCTCCTCCATGGCCTCAGGCCCTGTGCTCATTGTCAAGAGAGGTTCATCCCGCAGTGTCTGTCATCTGGACTCATTTTTGAGCTCTCTCCCTCCTTGACTCCACATCAGTTAACTTAAAAAGTCCCTTGCTTCCCTTTTCTTCTTTGACATTACTTCTTAAACAACAGGAGAGGAAAGAAACGCAAGTCTTTGGACTTAAAATTCTACCCAAAGCTGGAATGCTGTCATTAATGACAGGTGGATATTCAAAACAGCCATGTCATCAGGCCTCACTGACAGCTACAAGTAGAGAGTCAGACAAGAAGGGACCCAGAGATTGTTCCGTGTCAACGCATCACCTCTTCATGTGCAGAAATGACACTTATGTTTTAAGTCAGAATTTGAATTTATTTAATCTGGGAGAACAAGTCAAGTCTATTTAGTGAGGACTGCTTACCTAACCACTTCTAGGAAAGCCATTTGACAATGGTTCACCTGAGGGAACAGAGCCATGAGGACACCTCCCAGCAGTCACGGGGGTGGGGTGGGAATCATGCTTAAGATCTAGGGTTCTTAAACATCTTTCCTACAGAACGCTGAGTTTCCATAGGTCAGAGTAGGGGCTTCTCCCAAACATAAAAATGGTAGCACTTTTCCCAACTCATGGCTAATGAGTTTAAGCTAACAGATCAGCTTTCTCAACTACATTTTTACCTCTCTCAATTGTCCCAAGTCTTTGATGCTATGACTGCTTGTCAGCTAGTGAGCAATTTGTTGTTGTTGTGAGTGCCATCAAGTCAGTTCCAACTCACAGCGCCCCTATATAGGGTTTCCAAGGAGCTGCTGATGGGTTTGAACTGACGATCTTGTGGTTCTCAGTCCAATGCTGAACCTCCAGCACCATACCAATGAGCAATGTTGTTGTTGTTGTTGTTAAGTACTGTCGAGTTAGTTCTGACTCATAGCGACCCTGTATACGGTTTCCAAGGAGCGGCTGGTGAGTTTGAACCACTGCCCTTGCAGTTCAAACCGGAAAGAGTGCAAACAATGAGTCTTCGGAACAGTTCAAAGACTCATCAGCCATGCCATCTGAGTTATTCACATCTCTCTGGGAACACGAGGGTTGGAATACTGGTGAGGTTTGGTGGTACTGATGAGTGCTGTCAAGCTGACTGCCTCATAGCGACCCCGCAGGACAGAGCAGAGCTACCCCCACAGGGCTTTCCAGTCTGGAATCTTTACAGGAGGAGGCTGCCAAGGCTGTTCTTCCACGGAACTGTTCGTGGGTTCAAATCACTGACCTTTTGATTAATAGCTAAGTGCTTAACTACTGCATCACCAGGGTGCCCTAGCTTAGCTACTAATCAAATTGATCCTAAAACCTTATACAGGGCCGCTGAGTTGAAACCGACAAGATAGCACTTAACAACAACAACAATTTCATATGCTAGCACAAAGCACCAGTGTTTCATGATATCTAACCACAAGCACCATGATTTTCTGGGGTTCTGTCACGTGAACAAATCTGAAACGACTTAGAGAGAGAGGGGCTCAGTGTATAGTGTGACTCTGAAAGCCTGTGCCCTGGCAGTGACTCCGCGACCTACTTCTTATACTAGCTGGGCCAGGTCCTTAACCTCTCTGTGCCTCAGTTCCCTCATCTGTAAACTGGGGACAGTACTAATCCTCACTGGACTGCTCAAGAACTAAATGAATGACTATTTTGTACAGTGTCTGCTATGTAAGAGTGAGCAAAACTTCCACTGGCATCACCAACACCACCACCTTCCTGTGAGCTGGGACATGTCGTTGAAGAACAAGTAAACCCGTCATTGAAAACACTTTCCAAGTTCTCCACCAGGGGGAAGTGGACCTATACCAGGGCTCCTGGTGTGTGAGCCAAGTTTATGGATGGTAAAGCGCTCTAGGAAAGCAAGAAGGGTCACAGTACCCGGAACATGACCATGTGGGACTCCAGCAAGATCTCAGAAAAACTGGGCTTCAGCACGTCCAGACTGATGTTTGGCACTGAGAAAGAAATGAGAAGCAAGCCTTTGTTACACCTTCTGGCCTCATAGTCTGCCTGTTCATAATAAATCCACTGACTAGCTGGTTAACAAGTAGGTGAGCGTGTTGAAGAGATGGAGGGAAGCCTGGCCAATACTTGACCACTTATTCTGCTTGTATGAAGCACTCCTCAGACATTCAGAACAACAGAGAGCAAGCAGACAACAGGGCCTCCCTGCCTTGGCGCTCGCTCCCACAGCTCTCAGCAACATACTGCTGCTCTCTCCTGTGAGGCAGGGACCACGTCTACCTCACTCAACAACACAGCTCCAGGCCCACGCAGTACAGTGGATGAACTAGTGAATTAATTCGCTGCTTTGGCTAGATTAGGTGGTAAGACTGAAGTGGAGACACGGAGAACAGAAGCAAAGAGAGGGTTCGCTGCAGAGGACAGATGATGAATCTAAAGACGATTGCGCTGAGGATGATACGGAAGTGGAGGTGTCCAAGGGCATATAGATATGGGGGTCACATCAGAGCTGAGAACGTCACTTTCTATAAAGTGTTGGCTGGAGGTGGGGAGGCAGAGCTCTGTACCGTGACATAAAGGGAAACGCCTGCCTGCTCTAAGCCTTGTGGGTAGGCTGGGAGTGGGGCTGAGGTACCCACAGTGCCGAGGATAGAAGAGCCCATACGGAAACAGGACAGAGGCACCTGCATTCAGACTGTAAGGAGGAGAGTCAAAATGCAGCAAGAGGCTGGGAAACTGGGAACAGGCAACGAGCCCCCACCCCTAGTGACACCCTTGATCTCTGGGGAAAAGCGTTTCAGGAGACAGTGGATGAAGAAAAAGGAGCTAGCTTCCTTACACCCAAGGGACTCGTGTGAAGAGATTAGACTGAAAAGACGAAGAAGAAAACGTCGACATATGAAGGTTTAATTTTCTACAATATGGATGACTTATAAACGTTTCCCATCAGAGCTAGCCACGGAAGTGAACTCACTCACGTTTGGGATTGAAATGGTCCTCCACATTCCAGATGGAGTTGAGGGTGTCCTTCAGGTATGGAGTGCAAGTAACTTCCAACTGCTCCCAGCCCCTGTGAAAAGCAGTCACATTGTTCCTAAGGGACCTCACAACCACCCAGAGGGTGTCTACTGCCCTAAAATCTGGGAAGTCTTTCTCTCTTCAACCCAGTGGGCCTACTTTTTTCAACCTCATTCTTGGATAGTCTAAAGCTCTCCTAGCAATAGTCTAGCATACCATATTCCCATTTTAGAAAGAGGCACAAACCCAGTGAGTTATTGCCACAAGCCAGATGTAGAAACATTTCACTCTCAGAACACATAAAACACCAAAACTACCCTGGAACTCTGTTCCCCAGACATACCTGACAATCTTTTCCCTCCTCCATCTGCCACAAGAACAAATCTGAGGTGAACCTTGATCACTGGAGAACAGAAGCTTCTAGTATATTTCTCATAGAGTAGAAGGAAAACTGCGAGCCTTTATTGGTACATCAGGGCCCCAGAGACTCACCACTTGGGCAGGACCTTTCCTGAGGAGCCCAAGACACAACCGGTGACCAGATGGATCAGGCGAATTCGACTTCTCAGTACTTTGATGCGGTTTCCAAATTTTCTGTTTACCACCTCAATCCGCCAGAAATCATTTGAGTCTCCTGTACCATTCTGCCACAATGAAAGTGAGATGACTTTAGAGACAAGGTGTCAGAAAAGGGAGATGGCCAAAACATACATGCCTTTTAGTTGTCACCCCGTTATCAAAAGTCAAAGACCAATGCAACCAGAGCCCGGAAAGGGGAGACCTTGTTGTTATTCAGTACCTCAAGTTGGTTCTGCCTCATACAACCCTGTATAGGGGTTTCTGAGGAGCAGCTGGTGGGTTTGAACTGCCAACGTTTTGGTTCACAGACCAGTGTCTATCCTACAGCACCACCCAAGCACTCCATATAAATATCTCAGGTCACTAAGACTGCCCAGCACTCACTGTTACACCCAAGAAGAGCAGTATACCTCATAGAGCCGGAAGCCGAGTTCTTTACTTCATAAGACTAGAACTTTTAAGTTCTAAATATATGTTTCTGTCTTTAAACCATTAAACTCAAGACACCAGCCTGAACAAACAGAAATAAATCTGGACCATTTAAATCCATTACTGTGGCCATCTGGATATGCACTCATCTAAGCCAGAAAGGTCTGGCCTGGATATTGTACTTTAAAAATGAAGATTGTTGGGTCTAATTCTTCTCAGAAGATGCACACAGAAAAACAATTCTTGGCTCTAGTACAATAAGGGACAAGTAAATAGGAAGGGAACTGGGAAATCTACATTATGGAACCCAGAATCTTTATAGAACACTACAGCCCTTGGAAGGAGATACAACTAAGAACCATAGAGTTCCTACTAGTTGCCTTTGTCTTCAAATTACTCCATAAGCCATAAGTATTCACAGAGCTTCCTCTATAAAGACATCTCCCCAAGGCAGTAAAAAACAAAATTCCTGTATATAACATCCCTCTGCAGATCAGGGAAGAAAAGCTTAAAACCAATGAGAATTTGGGATTCTGGCAAGGGATAAACTTACATACTCATCTGGGGCCATGTTATGGGATCTTGGCTTCTATATCCAATGTGATTTTAAAAGGAACCCAAATAATATTCCTATTTAACATTTATTGTCAGAATGTAAAAATGGCATAGTTACCAGGGGGGGAATGGGATGAAGACAAATAGATCTCTTAAGTTGCTTTTACCACAGCAAGCTTAGCCAAAAATCTCCCAAATTAACATTTAACAAGAGTCACTTTGCAGCCTCAAATCCTTAGGAACATTCTAGAATTCTAGGGAGGCTATTCTGCCAAAAGGCCCTGAGCCAGGGCCCACAACTTTTTACATCCTCCTCACACCCCAAGTGCTCACTTACTATGCCATAGCCAGTAACTTGATAGTGCTTCCGGGTCAGGGGTGCCTCATGATAGTGGCTGTGCAAGTTCCGAGAGGTCCTAGAAGTTAAGAGAAAGAAGTGATTCTCTGAAGTTATTGTGAGGAAGACAGTGATACGTGCAGAGCTCCTTCTTTAACCTAGCACATTCAGAGTCTGCTATGAAGAGAAGCAAAATTTAAATGTAAACCATGAAATACAACATTTCAGGAACTTCGTGCCTAGTTACTCACAAAAGATAGAAATCCAAAGAATTGGAGAAGAGCCTAAATCAGGAGAGACAGATGGTAGGAATACTGGAGTACATTCCAAGAAAAGGACTGGCTTCAGGTGGTGGTGGGGTGGGGTAGGAGGTGACTTTCACACATTTGGCAGCTTGGAAGCACTAAACTTGTCTGACTGATGAGGTAGAAAAAAAGTCCACCTCCCAATCTACTTATGTTCTGAGGCAGGTAAAACTCCCGCACCCACTCTACTCTCGCCACCCTTTTATTTGTTTTTAAAGCGGAAATCTGTGGTGGGGAGAAAGGGCTAACTTAGCTTTTGTTTTCATAGCAACTTAGTTTTATCATATAAGTAAAAAAATGTTGAATATAAAAAGTTTGGAATTTTATGAAAATAACATTTAATAATAAGTAAAATGTACCTATTTGTTAATAAAATATACAAGTATTTGCTAATAATAAAATAAAATTGAACAGTATCCATAATTCAATTGGAATCCTAGTGTGATGCTGTGGGTTAATGCGCAGGCCTGCAAAGTCGGTTTGAACTGCAGGGTTGGCAGTTCAAACTCACCAGTCGCTATGGGTTGGAACCAATTCAATGGCACTTAACAACAACATCATTCAACTGGCTAGGAAAACCACTCCTTATCTCTTTTCTATATACGTATAGCCATGGTTTTTTTAAAAATGTGTGTGATAATTTCAGCATCTGAAATCTTTGTGAGAATATTTCTACTGTCTATTGTTTCTGCTGGTTCTTCCAACGACGTCTTATGTCTTTGTGTGCTTAGCTACTTTTGACTGTGTACCATTCATTGCTGCTAAAAAATGATTCGCTTTTAGCTGGGCAACTCGGAGGCACTGCCCATCTAGGATCACATCCATGTAAATGCACAACTTGAGAATTTTAAGACCATCAGGTGAGAGGATTTAAGCTACAAATCCATGTGAGGACTGACTGACAACTTCTCAGGACCTAGGTCTAGTCCACTCTTCCATCCCTCACACTTCTCAATATTCAAGAAACTTTTCCCAGGGATATGTAGACAGGGCAGATTTCCCTTGAGTTTACCCTTATTCTATAAAGATGTGGCCTTTTGGGGCTCCGCATTTGGGAAGTTTACCACTTTGGGTGGCCCTAGAGCTTTGACTTTGAAATCCCTCCTCTCAAGCAGCAGCCAAAATAAAAGACCAAAACCCAAGACTGTGGGATCCAGGTGAAAGTGGTTCCCCACTAAAAACCAATGCCACGGAGTGGACTCTAACTCAGTGACCCTAAATAGGGTTTCCAAGACTAACTTTTTCTGGGAGCAGACAGCTTCATCTTTCTCCCTTGGAGCAGTTGGTGGGTTTGAACCACAGATCTTGCAGTTAGTCATTCAATGCCTACCCCACAGAGCCACCAAGGTTCCTTGTTACTGATTTCTCCAAATTATCTCTTGCACATTACACTTGATTGGGTAATGCCATCCCATGCTGTCAGTTCACTAACGCTCTCATATTATCCCAGCACTTTTAGTGAGAACATTGGTTAAATAAACGAACTTGCTATATTCTTGGAAAGAGACTCTCAGATCTGTCTGAAAGTAGCCATTTGCTGTTATTGTTGTTAAGTGCCATCGAGTCGGTTCCAACCCATAGCGACCCTGTGTAGGGTTTCCAAGGAGTGGCTGGTGAGCTTGAACCACTGACCTTGCAGTTCAAATGGCTTTGCGGTCTGGTGCATTAACCCACAGCTCCACACCAGGACTCCAAAAGCAGCCACTTAGGAAGCTCCAATAAAATCAATTTTTTTCTTTTTTCCTCTAGTAAAAGGGAAACTGAAAGGTAACCTCAAAGTTCAAAGCCCCCAAACCAACATTGGCAGGTAGAGTGGCCTGCTAATCTCACCAGTCTCCCTAAAATGGTTCCCTCTGTTCCATTTACTAGATCCTCACCCAAATTTCACTTCTGTTTCTCCCTACCCTTAGCGCCTATTCATTTATCCCAAACAGCAAATTTAATTACTCTTTGTGTTCTAGTCGAATGATGTCTCCATGTCTCACAAACTCCACTGGAAATGACGGATCTAGGGGATCTGCAAGAAGAAACAAGCATTGATATCTGAAGTCACTCCTTCATTAGGCCTAGTGTTCACTGCGGGCTTACTGGTAAACTAACGATGACAGTCCAACGTAACATATGCTAGCATTACTAACAGAGTACTGTGGGACCACAGAGAAAGGGCGCCTGCTTACCTCAGAGGATTAGAAAAGGGTGTCCTAGCGATGGTGCTTGGGATGACTCTTAAGGGAGAGGGAGGACAAGTGGGGCAAAGGCACAGAGCTATGAAGGAACAAAACTCATCTGACCAATGGCAAATGGTTTCATCAGGTGTGGAGGGTGGGGCAGGAAGGAGAACAGGAATAGGAGATGAGGGTGGTGGACAAGAAGCAGGGCCAGATTGTCTATGTCGGGCCAGGGCAACTGGCCATTATCTGAAAGGCATTGAAAGCCCACTAGAGGATTTTTAAATGGAGGTTAAATAATAAGATTTCCATTTTAGTAATCATATGTTGTTGCTGTTATTGTCAAGTGCCGACTACCCTATGTAGGCCTTCTGAGGAATGGCTGGTGGGTTTGAATCACCAACTTTTCAGTTAGCAGTCCAGTGCTTACCTTACAGCACTATGCCAGAACTCCTAGTAGTCATATGTTGTTGTTTAGCACCTTGGAGTCAGTTTTGACTCATAGTGACCCTGTATAGGGTTTCCAAGGAGCAGCTGGTGAGTTTGAACAGCCAACCTTGTGGTTCAAACTGACCTTGCAGTCTAGTGCTTATCCTACAGCGCCACGCCAAGACTCTAGTGGTCACATAGTCTTCCAAAAAATAATTCCATTAAAATAACCATTTGCCCAGTTCGCCTTAAAATCATATGAGAAATCCTATAAATGTTGATAGCAATTATCTGGTCTCTGGCAATAGACTTGCTTGCTAGAATAACAGGGTAGGGGTGAGGGAAGGACCATTTCTGTAGCATCTGGAAGTCAAGACCAATCAGGGATTAGAAAGGTGATGCCATGAACAAAGGAGCTGACAGTCACCATAGCAACACGAGAGGAACCTTGCAAATTGCTGTCCTGAACAGTGAGGCATAAACACTGTAAACAGACTGAGGTCCAGAAAGAGCGATTCACCAGTCAGATCAGTGGTTCTCAAGAGAATTAGAAATTTCAACTGCAAAGTCGCCCGCCCGTTCTTATGCTGCAATTTAAGCCCTCTTAAAAAGCTGAATTAGCAAGATGGCCAAACAAATAAATCAACATAAAAGAAAATTCTATTTCATATGAAGGGTTTTTTTTTTTTTTGTGCTGGGGAAAGGAGCCTTATAGCCAACAAAAGCATAAAGACATCGGTCTACACAGTCCCACATCCCCATTCCTGTAGGAAGCCAGAGAATGCCTGTATCATGGGACAATCACAGGCACTCAGGAAGGTGAGCAAGAGCAGAAGGCACCGCGTCTGACCAGAGAGAAGAATCCCCATACAGCCCTTGTCATGAAGCCCTGAGAGCTGTCCAGGGTAGCTTTGCCCAGGCCAATTAGGAGCAGCTCTGCCAGCATCCAAGGGAGGCCCCAAGTACTAGCCTAGTCCAAGCCCAGCCCCAAAGCTAGCAGGCCTTCAGATCTCCATCTCCAGCGAACTGCCCCAGGCTAGGAATGGCCAATGGGCAGCACACGATTTTATCAGGTTAACTTGAGTTGCACCACATGCTGTGACCTGCAAGGCTTGCTGTAAGTTGACACGCAATGTTCCCAACCCCTAATGGCAAATAAGGATTGGACTAATAAAGACACTGATAAAGAAATGAAAAGAATGAGACATCTGACTTACATCACAACCAATTTACGACAGAGTTGTTGAAAAGGAAAACCACTAGACATGAGAGTAGCCAGCACGTTTAGGTAACCTCTTCCTGGAGTCCCGCTGTCTGGGTTTGGGCTAGGGTTAGGGTCTGGTTTCAAAACAACTGTTCTAAGAGTGAGAGTGCATCTGTCTTGCTCACTGCTCATCCTCTATGCATACAACAGGGTTTGGTGCTCAACAGATAATTGTAGAAAGGATCACTGAGATTAGAAAAGATGTCAAGAAAGAATGCTCAGAAGAGTCCATCTCAGCCTCATCTTTTTGGTGGCATAAGAAATGGTAAGGAGGGCTCAGAGTAAGAACACAAAAAGCATCAGTTCTTACCACATTACCTGCGTTCGTGTTATGTTTCTTGATAATCCACAGGTTGTTGTAGTCCTTGTGCAAATAGGTAGTGACCTAGGTTGGGGGGAAGGAGAATACTGTAACTATCCACGCAGCAGGCCTTATGACAATCAGCAGCAAACCATCATTGCTTAGGCCTCTTCCGGAACCCCCAGCTTCCAGCTGGAAGAGGCCACCCTTCTCAATGGGGTTCTGGGGAGGGAGACCTGTTCCCATCTGGAGGCCTTTCCCCACAGAGTGGTCTTGATTGATCTCTTTGTATCTTTCTGCATCCTGCTCAGAGGGCTCTGTTGCTAAGAGCTATGAGTTTCTGTTTGAGGTGATGAAACACTCTAGGAAGTAGACAGTAGTAATGGCTGCACAAAACCCTAACTATAATTCATGTCACGGAATTGTGTACTTAAAAACAGTTAAGAAGGCCATTGTGTGCTTTAGATAAAGAGTTCTTAAAAAAGAAAGAAAGAATACAGATAGTTTCCAACTTATGACGGGGTTACATTCCAACAACTCTGTCATAAGCTGGTTTTAATGTAAGTCAGATACCTCTTTTTTTTTTCTTTTTCTTTCAGTTTTTATCATTGTTGCCTTTTTTATCAGTACCTTTATTTGTCTTTGTTATTACTGTTAAGTGCCTTCAAGTCAGTTCCAACCCAAGTGACCCTGTATAGGGTTTCTGAGGAGTGTCTGGTTTGTTTGAACAGCCAACCTTGCGGTTCAAACGGGCCTTGAGGTCGAGTGCTTATCCTGCAGCACCACACAGGACTCCTTATTTGTCTTTAAAGGTTAGAAATACTGCATGTGCACTTACAGATATATTTTAATACCTACATACATATTTTGGAGTCCTGGTGTGGTATTGTAGGATAAACACTCAACTATAAAGTCAGTTTATACCACAAAGTCGGCGGTTCAAACTCACCAGCAGCTCCTCAGAAATCCTACACAGGGTCGCTATGAATCAAAACTGACCCAATAGCACTTAACAACAACAACATACATATTATTAACAATAGGATGTACAAAGCAAAAAAAGCATTAGTGCATTTTGTCGTAACTTGAGTATGTTGTAAATTGGGGACTGACAGTAATACAAAAAGCAAAAAAGTTTTGAAGGTCCCAAGAAATGAAGTCTATATTCCAGAACAAAAGTAAATATAATCCATCGAGCCTGAATTTGCTCAAGGATGTTATGAGTTCTGTGCTGTTCACATGTATATTATATGTGTACATGTATTTTTTAAACAGAAAAATTATTATTAAAAGTCCTACCAAAAAACCCTTATTTTTTTGTATGTGTGAGTACAGACCATGGCCTTTTCTTGCCATGAAAGATATGCTTTTACAATGACACTTTTTAAATAACATGAGGTGTCCTATACAAATATCCTATTGCAGAATGTTGTCCAGCAATCTGTCAGTAAACACTGATCTTCTGAGATTATGTATTGCTTTTGTTTCCTTTTTTAATTTAGCTATATTTTTCAGTATTTATTTTATAAATAATATGCTTAAAAAAAAAAAGGACTCCTGGTGTCACATGGTGTTAAGCACTCAGATGCTAACAAAAAAGTCGGTGGTTCAAACCCACCAGCTAATCCATGGAAGAAAAAGGTGGCAGTCTGGTCCCATAAAGTTTTGTTGTTGTGAAGTGCCGTTGAGTCAGTTCCAACCCATAGCGACCCAGTATAAGGTCCCCAAGGAGTGGCTGGTGAGCTTGAACTACTGACCTTATGGTTCAAACTGCCCTTGCAGTCCAGTGCATTAACCTGCAGCGCCACACCAGAACTCAAGATTATAGCCTCTAAACCCTACCCTATCCTACAGAATAGAACTGATTTGATGGCAATGGACTTGGGGTTATGCTTTTAAAAGTACTTAAAAATAGAGACCTAGAGACACTGGCATGACATTAAATTACAGACCAGGGAGGAGCACTAGAGGTTAATTAGTCAAGCTCCCTATTTTACAGGTGAGGGAACAGGCTGCAAAAGGATGAGTCAGGCAATGACAAAAACCAGACACTATATCCCTTGGGTCTCAGTGTTCTCTCTATATATACTACCATAATGGTTTCATGATGCCACACATGGGCTGAACACGTATGACACTGTTTTTTCTTGTAAGGTGCTGTCAAGTCAGTTCCTACTCATAACTACCCCGTGCACAACAGAATGAAGCAGTGCCTGGCTCTGGGCCAGTTTCACATCTTTGCTATGTCTGAGCCCATAGCTGCAGCCACAGTGTCAGGCCAGCTTGAGGCTCTTCCTCAATGTGTAATACGACTTAGTTTTTACCTGACTTTTTAACACTAAGACTATCTTACTAAGGCCTTTCAGGGTACAGCTTTTCTCTCCCTTTACACAGTATAACTTCTGTCCCTGGTCACCACCCCTGTAACTTTGCTATCTTTAACGTGACTCCTGTGGCAAAGTTATCACCACAGAATGCTAACAGTGGTTTTCTGCCTTGCCTATAGATTAGAATCATCTGGAAAACTTCTTAAACCCAAAATAAAAATGCACTACTGAGTAGAGGGCAATAAAAGAAATAGAGGTAAATACTGTTATAAACACAATCCTGCAATAATGGTGATCTGCAAGTAGATGCATGAATAGACAAGCAGGCTGAACAGGCATGGGAGGGAGAGTGGGCATATAGTAACTCGATGGCACTTAACAACAACAACAACAACACTTTATGGAACCAGACTGCTACCTCTTCCTTCCAGTGAGTAGCTGGTGGATTTGAACCTGAGCAAATGAGCGCTTAATGAATAGATGCAGGTTTGACAAAGGATATCTGTACATATGTATTCATCTTTCTTGCAAATGTATCCATGAGAATGTGGTGAAATAAACGGGACAAAGTTATGAAAACTTCTCAGACATGGCCAAACTCCTGAAGGAATGAGGCACTGGACCCGGGGACTCAGGCCTATAGTCTCAGGGGATACCAAGGTCAACTGGCATAACATAGTCCACATGTTCCACATGCTACTTCAGTGAGTAGTGACTAGGACCATCAAGAGAGGAACGCACAAATAGAATGCGGGACCTTATCCAGAGAAGCAGCAGTGCCAGAAATGGAGACAGAGATGGAGGCATGGAGAGGGGGAGCGGCTGAGGGCTCCAGATTCAAAAACTAAGAAGAGAAGGACTAAGAACTGGTGGCTAGGAGCAGACTTGTAGAATGTGCCCTTTGGAGACGTAATTTATTATATATGCCTGAGTGGGTTTTTTTGTTTGTGTGTTTTTTTAAAAAAGCTAAAGTGGATAAAGAGAAATACTTTTAACTGATGGTATATGGAGGGGATTATAATCAATGTAATGAAACAAGTTATATGAATTGTTGAATGTGAAACTGATGATGTGCCCTGTAAACTTTCGCTCAATCCACAATAAAAACCTTAAATTGGAAAAAAAAAAAAAAAGCTCATGAGCAGCCACCTAAGGTGCAACCAATGGTCTCTCCCTGTCCGAAGGAAAGACGAGTGAATAAAATTGAAGACGCATAGAAACAATGAGTCCACTGGACTAATGGACCATGAAAATCTCAGTCACCATGACCCTGAGACCAGAACTCAATGGTGCCCAGCTACCACTACCAACTGCTCTGAACTAAACCACTATAGAAGGTCCTAGAGAGAGTAGGAACAAAACTCACAAACATAAGTAAAACCAAGCTTACTGGTCAGACAGGCAGTTCAGGTCTGAAACCAAACTTTTCCCTGTGACTCAATTTTCAGCCGAGCAACAGACAAGTCTGTAAGGGGAAAATATTAGGGAAATATACACACCTTAGAATAATCAACCATTTGCGCTCAATAGGGCAACATTTACCCAAGGAAAAAGTTCCAAAGGGTTCAAAAAAAAGGAGGAAGAATGGAAACATGAAATGCAGGCAGGGAGGAAGCAAAATAACTGATTTTACACTTGGGGGACTGCATTCAGTGACATGAAACAAAATGTGTATGAATTGATGAATGGAAAACTGATGTGCTTTGTAAACTTTTGTTGCTGTTAAGTGTTGTTGAGTTGGTTCCAATTCATGGTGACCTTATGCATAACAGACTGAAACACTGCCTGGTCCTGTGCCATCCTCACAATCATTAAGCTTGAGCCCATTGCTGCTGCCACTGTGCCAATCCATCTCATTGGAGGTCTCCCTCTTTTCTACTGACCTTCCAATTTACTTAGCATGATGTCCTTCTCCAGGGACTGGTCCATCCTGATCACATTTTCAATGTATAACAGATGAAGTCTTGGGGTCCTGGATTCTAAGACGCATTCTGGCTGTATTTCTTCCACCACAAATGTGTTTGCTCTTCTAGCAGTCCATGATACTTTCAATATTCTTCTCTAACACCATAACTCAAATGTGTCAATTCTTCTGCAGTTTTCCTTATTCATTGTCCAACTTTCACATGCATATTAAGCTACTGAAAGTACCATGGTTTGGATCAGGCACTTTAGTCTTCAAACTGACATCTTCACTCTTCAACACTTTAAAGAAGTCTTGTCTGCTGTTTCCATGAGTGTTGATGGTCTTTGACAACTTCAATCTTTTCTCCATTTACCGTGATGTTACTTATAAATCTGGTGGTGAGGATTTTTGTTTTCTTTACATTTCTTTACTTGAGGCTGTGGTCTTTGATCTTCGTCAGTAAGCATTTTAAGTCCCCTTTCAGGAAGCAAGGTTATATCTTGTACATATTAGAAATTGTTAATGAATCTTCCTCCAATCCTAATGCCACGTTCTTCTTCATAAAATCTAGCTTCTCCAATTATTTGCTCAGCATACAGACTGAATAAATATAGTGAAAGAATACAACTCTGGCACACACCTTTCCTAATTCCAAACAACTCAGTGCCTCCTTGTTTTGCTCAAACAACTGACTCTTGGTCTATATACAGGTTCCTTATAAGCACAATTAAGTGCTACAGAATATTCATTCTCCGCAATATTGCCCATAGCTTGTCATGATCCACACTGCTGAAACCTTTGTATAGTCAATAAAGCACAGGTAAACATCTTTCTGGAATTCTCTGCTTTCAACCAAGATCCAGCAGATGTCAGCAATGATAACCCTTGTTCTACATCTTTGTCTCAATCCAGCTTGAACCTCTGGCAGCTCCCTGTCAATGTACTTACTGTTGCAGGAGTTTTTTAATTACCTTGAACAACATTTTACTTGCATATGATATTAATAACATTGTCTGATGATTTCCACATTCTATTGGGTCACCTCTCTTTGGAACGGGCACAAATGTGGATATCTTCCAACCAGCTGGCTAGGTAGCTGTCTTCCAAATGTCTTGGCATAAATGAGTGAGTGCCTCCAGTGTTGCCTCTGCTTGTTGAAAGATTTCAATTTGCATTCTATCAATTCCCAGAGACTCGTTTCTTTGCCAATGCCTTCAGTGCACCTTGGACTTCTTTCTTCATTACCATTGGCTCTTGATCAAATGCTATCTCTTGAAATGATTGGACATTGCCTACTTCTTTTTGGTACAGTGACTTTGTATTCCTTTCATTTTCTTTTGATGCTATCTGCATCAGTCAATATTTTGCCCATTTGTTGTTGTTAACTGCCGTAGAGTCAGTTCTGACCCATATTGACACTATATAGGGTTTCCAAGGAACAGCTGATGGGTTTAATCGACAGACCTTGCAGTTAGCAGTGCTTATCCTACAGTGACATACCAGGACTCTATTTTGCCCACTGTTGTTGTTAAGTGCCATTGAGTCAGTTCCAACCCATAGTGATTTTGTATAGAGGTCCCAAGGAGCAGCTGGTGAGCTTGAACTGCCGACCCTGCAGTTTAGTGAATTAACCCACAGCACCACACCAGAACTCTTTCAATATTGCCAAATGAGGCTTAAATTTTTTCCTAAGTTCTTTCAGCTTGAGAAATGCTAAGCATGTTCTTCTCTTTTGGTCTTCTAACTCCAGGTCTTTGCACATTTCATTATAATACTTGGCTTTGTCTTCTTGAACTGCTCTTTGAAATTTTCTGTTTAGTTCTTGTACCTCCTCATTTCTTCCATTTGTTTTAGTATCTCTATACTGACTGGTGTGGTGCTATGGGTTGCTGCGCCAGACTGCAAAGCTGTTTGAACTGCAAGGTCGGTTGTTTAAGCTCCTTGGAAACCCTATACAGGGCTGCTATGGGTCGGAACCGACTCAACAACACTTAACAACAAACAACAACAATGCTGGAGAGCAAGTTTGAGAGTCTCTTCTGACATCCACTTCAGTCTTTCCCTTCTTTCTTGTCTTCTTAGTGACATTTTGTGCTTTCTTTCTGCATGATATTCTTGATGTCATCCCACAACTCCTCTGGTCTTCAGTCATTAGTGTCTATTGCATCAAATCTGTTCCTGAGATGATTTATAAATTCAGGTGGGATGTGGTCAAGGTCAAATTTTAGCTCTTGTGAGCTTGTTTTAATTTTCTTCAGCTTTAGCCTGAACTTGCATATGAACAATTGATGATTTGTTCCATAGTCTGCCCCTAATCCTGTTTTGGCTGATGATTTGGAGCTTTTCCACCATCTCTTCCCACAGATGTATTCAATTTGATTCTTGTGTATACCTTCTGGTGAGGTCCATATGTATAGTTGTCTTTTATGTTGTTTAAAAAAGGTATTTGCAATAAAGAAGTTCATTGGTCTTGCAAAATTCTATCATGTGCTCTCCAGCATCTTTTCTTTCACCAACGCCATATTTTCCAACCACAGAGGATCCTTCTTTGTTTCCAACCTTTGCATTCCAATCAACAGTACTTATCAATATATCTTGGTTGCATATTTGATCAATTTCAGACAGAAGAAGTTGACAGAATTCTTCAATTTCATCATCACTGGCTTTAGTGATTAGTACATAAATTTGAAAACAGAGGTATTAACACCCATAGTGTTTCAGCTGAGCTTCCAAACTAAGACTAGGAAGACGGAAAGGCGGACTGCAAGCCTTTACCTACTTCATAATATAAAGTTGAAAAAAATAATAAAATAAAAATTCTGAATGAGAATCACTTTGGTGGAATCCAAGCACTAAAATATTTAAAAAGCTCCCTAGCAGATTCTAAAGCACAGCCAGAGCTGAGAACCATGGGACTAGAGATAGGACGAAAAACTGATAATAGCTTGGGTTAACGTTCTTTTTAAAATGGATTATTCCTTTTTTTTTTTTTTCTTCTTTGCCATTGTGTGACCGCTGCTATGTTCCATCTTCACAATGTCTTCTCATAAGACATTTTAGGATCAAGAGATTCCTGGCCAAGAAACAAAAGCAGAATTGTCCCATTCCCCAATAGATTAGAATGAAAACGGGGAATAAAATCAGATACAACTCCAAGAGAAGACACTGGAGAAGAACCAAGCTGGGTCTCTAAGGAGTGGCCCATGTTCCTTAAGGAGTGGCCCATGTTCACTAAGGAGTGGCCCATGTTCTCTAAGGAGTGGCCCGTGTTCTCTAAGGAGTGGCCCGTGTTCTCTAAGGAGTGGCCCATGTTCACTAAGGAGTGGCCCATGTTCTCTAAGGAGTGGCCCGTGTTCTCTAAGGAGTGGCCCATGTTCTCTAAGGAGTGGCCCGTGTTCCTTAAGGAGTGGCCCATGTTCACTAAGGAGTGGCTCATGTTCTCTAAGGAGTGGCCCGTGTTCTCTAAGGAGTGGCCCGTGTTCACTAAGGAGTGGCCCGTGTTCACTAAGGAATAGCCCGTGTTCTCTAAGGAGTGGCCCGTGTTCTTTAAGGAGTGGCACATGTTCACTAAGGAGTGGCCCATGTTCCTTAAGGAGTGGCCCACGTTCACTAAGGAGTGGCCCATGTTCTCTAAGGAGTGGCCCATGTTCTCTAAGGAGTGGCCCGTGTGGATGGCGCAGCACATAATAGACCCAAGTCCTAGCACCCTACCATAGCAAGTTCAATTTTGCCAATATTTGATCAGTTGATCATGTTTTGCAAATCTTCTGGTTTCTTCCTTTATTTTTATACTTCCGCATTTAAAGAGGTTGGCTAATAAATATGTGATGTCTTTGGTTTGAAAAAATAAAATAAAATAAAATGGATTATTCCTTAAAACAGTTTAAAGTCTGTGGAAAAATAATACAGAGTTCCCATATGCACCTCTGCCCTACACCTTGTCGAGGTAAACTTTCTAGTAACTGGAAAGGAAATAATAAGGCATTTGGAGAAGCAAATCTTTCTGTAAAGTGAAGAATTTGGTCATTCTACATGAACAGACACTTCAGTTCCAAGCTTCTCAGAATAGCAGCCTGCCCCCGTGCTGGGTCGGCTTCCTCTCCTCCCATTTGCTCCTTATGTCACTGCACCTGAGACTTCTGCCTGGGCTACTCGGCTGGAAATGCCCTTGTCATCCTCGATCCCCGCATTCTCTGGAGCCTTTGCATGGTTGATCTCTGCTGACTATCCCCTCCTTTCCTTGTGCTCTCCTCCTCTAGTTCTCTGGCCTTTCAGACCACTCATTCTTTCCCAGCCTCTTCTACCAGCTCTGCTCTGAGCACCTTTCCATGCAGCCTTACACACGGGTTCCTTCCCTGGTCTGCCTCCCTCTGCAAAGCTTTCCAGATGAGTCTTCCCACTCTGTCACACCCTCAAATCACTCTCTTCACACAGGCCCCAGACCTAAACTACACAGGGGAAAACGCTTCCAGTTCTGACTGTGGTAACACAGTGTTATTGCACATGTCCCCTGACAGTCCAGCAACAGAGCTAAACCTCACTCATCCTCACAGGCATTCGCTAGCTGCTCCTGACACCCTACTTCCGTGGGTTCTACATCCAAGTGCTCACCTCAATCCCCATGGTCTTTGCCTCTGTTTAGGGTGTCAGCATCTTTTTGTCGCAATACTTGCCATAGCCTCCTAATGGGCTCCTTACTTCCAGTCTACCCCTCCTTTTAATCCATCCCCATGCCCCTGCTGGAGGTATTTTTCTAAAACAGATCTGATCACATCTTGTCATCACTGAAGAACTTTCATGAGCACCTCAATGTCTACAGAATGAAGTCAAGTTTATTGTAACCTTAAGGCCCCTCCACAATCTGGCCCTACTCGCCTCTCTAACAACTGATTCCTCCCTCTCAGGGACCTTCCAACATAGCCACATCTAGCACGCCCTAGCTCAGACACAGTGCTGCTCATTCATTCTGCTAATACTTGTAGCTAATCCTTATATATACACTTTATATTTGTTATTGCAGTCAATCCTCACACTCGAATGTGGAGAGAGGTACTGTTTACTTTCTCCAATTTCAAGATTTTGCCCAAAGTCATCTCTAGTAGAACCAGGTCTTGGATCACTTAGTCTGGCTCCTGGGTCTGTGTTCATAACTGCAGGTTACTGCTTACCCATACCCAATACTGTGTGCCAGCCACTTGAACCTTCCAGGAGCTTAAGAGCCAAGTACAAAGAGATGGGAATGTGAAAAGGAGCATGGGAGGGTGCTGGAAAAGCCTCTCCTAAGAGGGGCACCTGACCTAGTGCTGGGTGAGGGGGCTACGGTGGTTTAACTGAAGCCTAAAGAAGCTGGAGTTAGCCCAAGGAAAAAGACAAGGGGGCTGGAGGAGAAAGAGGTCCCGAACAGGGGCATGACATGGACACAGAACTGGAAGCAAGAAGGAGAATGGGATGGTGATGGGCACACTGGACACATGGCTTAGGCTTAGTACTGCTGCCTTCAGATGCACCAAGGGCTCACTGACCTGCTGCTGTCGGGCACCAATGCCCTCAGGGTAGAGGTGCCTGTGGGAGTGGAGGTAGCCACTGGCCATCCGGAGGTTCTTCACAGTGATCACAGAGCCATAGGCCAGGTCTGAGGGGAAGACAGACAATGGACATGTGAGCTGACAAAGGGTTAGGCTCTGCCTGACTGGGGGGGGGGGGCGTCTGCAAAGTTCAAGACTGCCTAACCTGCTAGCAGACTCTTCGCTGAGCCCAGGACTACCTAGGGCCAATGCAAGGTTGACTTCTTACTCTGATGGAATCAACTCAAGAGGGAATCACTACAGGGTCTCACTTGATCCTCCCACCCCTCTCTCCTGAGGACATCAGAAGAAGCTGGATATTAACAGTATTATTATAAAAAGCACTGTTTGTAATAGCAAAAGGCTAGAAGCCATTTCAGTCAAGGTCTGTGTATCCCTCCAATGGCATGAAGATGGAGCCTCACTCTGTGTCCTCATCTGGAGCACTCTCTAAGATATAGCCTTAGAGTAGACTTCGAAAATAGGCTTTTGTGCCCTGAATCTAGTACCTGCCAAAAGTAACAATTCAAAGGTAGGGTTTTGTTGGGGGTTTCCATCACCCACCACTCCATGGAAACATGTCTCACTCTCCCACTATGGCCTACACCTGCCCTCCTCTGCGCATTCATTCAATCTACAGAACAGAACAATTACAATTCCACAGGGGATCCAGAGGTGGAGGAGGCTAACTGAAGCCCTGGGGAGCGCTGCACACACTGACCAGTGAGGGATGGTGGACAAGGACTTCAGCAGAGGTATGACGATGTGCGACATGGTGGGAACCCAAAGTTGTTGTTTTGTTATGTGCCTTGGAGTCGGTTCCAACTCATAGCAACCCTGTACAGGGTTTCTGAGGCTGTAAATCTTTACGGGAGCAGAAAGCCTCATCTTTCTCCCAGGGAGCAGCTGGTAGTTTTGAACCGCTGACCTTGCTGGTTCGCAGCCCGATTCGTAACCACTATGCTACCAGAGCTCCTTGGGAACCCAGAGTAAGGTCAGATAAGTTCCATGCCAGGAAGGAAGAGGCTAGCTTAAGGAAAGAGATCACAGCTGAGCCGAGTAATTCAAGTAATGAGTAAGGATCTGCTAACTCCATCGTTCAATTTGTCTATAGCTCACGCAGGCCCACAGCTGCAACCTTGAATATTGCTGACCACCCTTGTTTCTGGAATTGCTTGTCTTCTTCTCTGGCCCTGTAATGCTTCTCAGCAGCTTCCTTTCCTGGCTCCTATTTCCCATGCAGTTCCCAGCAATCTGACGTGGGCCCTGTTCTCCTCTTTCCACAGTTCCCTTACAGATCACAGCATCACTTACCCCTTTACTTGGCTGATTCCTCTTTGAAAGCATTAGCTTCAAGTGCCCTAGCTCCATTGCTCCGAAGTCCCTATAGACCTCAAAATCAGCCTCTCTAATGTGGAACTCAGTACCTGCCTTTCCAAGCTAGCTTTTTCTCCTGTCTTTTCTATCTCTCATTCTTTCCACAGTCTTGGAGGGCCCACTGTGTTCTAGGCACCGTGCAAGGCAGCAGAGAGATAAACTGTGTACAATGCAGTCCTTGCTTTAAGGAAATAATCACCAATGTTCAAATCCTTGACGTCATCTCCCTTATCTAGGTCATTGGCCTTAGTCCTGAGGTTGCCCCCACTGTGCCCAGCTCAAGTTCCTGTGATAGCTTCCCCCTTCTAGTCACCACTCATCGCTTTACAGCCAGCCTGCCTGGCTTTCTTCCTGTTCAAAGACCCGCACTGGGTCTCCACGGCCTGGTCGATGAACTCAAACACCTCAGCCACATATTTCAAGTCCTCATAATCTGGACTTTGTCTCTTCAACCTGATTTTCCCGACACTTTCCTACATATGACGTGTGAGTTTTGCCCTGTCCTCAGCATTCATTATGTCATCCTTTCTGCCCGATGTGCTCTCCCCTCCCGCTCCACCTACTGAAATCTATGCATCTGTCCAGGGCCCAACTCGAAGGCAACTTACTCCATGCACCTGGGACCCCCTCCAGCCCCCTGCAGCATTGGTGTCTTGCTTTGTGTTCCCTCTTGATGTACTTCACACATGGTCACAGTATTTGCAGATCTCTACCCCAGTCTCTATGCTCTGAAAGGCAACCACTCCTACAGCCTCCAATGTGGCTGACTGTCTGTGAACACATGAATGGATGTGAATTGCAGAATGTCATGGCGGGACTCACCACTGGCCCTGCAAGTCTTGTTCTCTCACCACATTCTCTCTGCTTGGCCTCCCCATAGAGCTGGCTTTGATGCTTTCATAGATAAAATGATGTTATTCTTCAGGCTCAAATAGCTTACTGCTCAGGACATGTGTGTTCGCTTTGTCCTGATTCACTCTCCAGAGTACCCTTAGCGGATAATCTAACTGGGTCTTTCTTACTCTTTGACATCTATAGGCTAAAATCACTCAAACTACTATACATGTCTTTTTCAATTCAACTCCCAGGAAATCCCTCTGCTCTTTCACCTCTTTAAAGACCCAGGGGCACTCACGTTCGGGGATGGAAGCATTGTGAAGGTTGTTCCCTGAAAGCCGGGCCTGGAAGGCAGAACTGAAGAAGCCATCGCCAGGACCACTGTGGAGAAAGGAGGCACAGGAGAGGGTCATGTTAATGGAGTGGAAACTGCGATTTTCCTGGCACTCTGGGAATAGCTCTGTTCAGTTCATTTAAAAGAAGTACAACCGAACTGGTAGTGTGGCATAGCAGGACAGATGTAGGTGATGAAATTGGAGAAATCCAAATCCCAACTCAGCTACTTACTAGCTAGAAGACATCTAACATTTTTGAGCCTCAACTGCTTATAAATTGGAAAGATGAGAAAATTGAAAGAACTCACAAATGATTCTGATTAAATGTGATAATGTATACAAAATGCTGAGCCTCGCTGCCGACACTCAGCAGATGCTCATTTACTGGGAGCTGGTGCTGTTGCTGTTACTATTACTAATAATCATCACTCTTATGGCATGTGTGTGTGCCCGTTCCTGCCAACCAAGGGACTCTGCTCAGGGATAAAGGGCACCCTATCAGGAGAGTCTCTTATTTCAGGGTAGAGGCTGCCCTTTCTGAGACCTGGGGATGTTCAGAAGATAGAAAATAGGAGGCAAGAAACAGGATGAAACCCTATGTACTCCCTCCTACACCCCAATCTCAGACCCAGGAGATTCCACAGTCCACCCGTGGGCTCAGAGCCAGGAGGCAGACCAGAGGGAACTGCCAGACAGGCTTCAGCGGTACCTCTTACTCAGAATCAGGAAGTGAACAGCAAAGGTGGCCGTATAGAGAGCCAGGGGCAACACTATGAGGCACAGGATGCGAGCCAGCAGGTGTTTTCCCACAGTTACCTGCAAACAGAGGCCAGTGTGGGGTGTGGGCACATGGGGCTTTATTAGTCCTCAGATCTTATATGTGCATTACAATTAAGTATTCATGTAGAGATCATAATGATTAAAAAAGAATGGTCAACAGGAAAGAAAAAAAAACTAGACACCCCGTGGGGGCTTCCACAATACCCACCCCCCAAGCCCAATGGAGGGGTTCAACATAGGCCAGCACTCTGCTGCCTCCCCAGGACCTTCATTCAGGACCCTGAAAAGTCACTGCAACACACAGTGCCAGCTGCATCTCCAATGTCTTCACTCTCCAGGCCCCTCTACGTTCTGCTGAGCTCTACACATTTATTCTCCCTGATACTTCCTGCAAATTACTCCTCATCTTCACTTCAGACCTCTGCTTCCTCCCACAAGTCTTCAAGATGGGACTGGTGCCCCTTCACAGCACTGATTAGCTGGACTGCAACTGCCTGCTTACTAACATCTCTCTCCATCGTCTCTAGGGGTCAGGAATCATGTCTCCTTCACATGTCTCATACCGAGTGGGTGAGGAGGGCTCTCTACACTTTCTGAATAAATCAATGAACTTGTTGGGAGTTTAGTTCAGAGCCAGCCTCTATACTACCCTGTATAACCTTGGAAAGTTATGATCTCTTTAGGTCATTTGGAAAACAAGGGTACCTGCTGCGCTGAGCTCTCATGAGGAGTAAATGACATAATGAAGGGAAAGCATTTTGCATGGGGCCAGGCAGAGAATCAGCCCTTACTAAGTATTAATGTTGTAATAAACCCTAAAGGTCCTTCCTGGCTTCTAAATATGGTGCCCCTGGGCGGGAAACAGGAAAATCTGAGTTCAGAGGGTCACTTCTTCATCTATTGCACCAATGGCCCCATGTAGTCAGTGTCGGCTACACATTTTGGCCTGCACTCAGCTGGACAGAATCCCCTAGCTGGGTAGTTTGTAGAGTATTAAAAAGACATCAAATACCAACAGAGAACCCCAAGGATGTCAGTCCCTCCTCTCTCCCTTTATGTCTCTCAGCCTTAGGCCCGCTCCCTGCTCCCTGCTGCTGACAGATGCTGCTGGAAACAGGCCTGCAGGCCAGGAGCACAACTACTCAGCCTCCTGCTGCAGAGGCAGAGAAAGGCCACTGGCTCCTGCTGAGCAAGATCGGGAAGCAAAGAATTTTCTAAAAGCACTTGGGTTCTCACCAGGGAAAGACTGAGGTCTCCGAGCAGGTGCCAAAGGTCGGAAACGGTGTTCAACCCCACTTGCAGGATGACAAAGAGGCCAACAAACTTGACCCCTAGAGCACCAGCAATACTGATGCCCGTTAGGCTGAGCCACAACCACCAGGGGGCAGAGAAGGGCCTGAAAACCAATAAAACAACTTAGTTTGGTAACTGAGGCTCAAAGAGGCTAAACTGTACCCTCTGTCTGTAGGTTCCGAACCTGGGGGTCGTAGCAAGGAGAGTGGGTCTGTGAATCCCCTGAAATTGCAAACAAACCTCTTTGTGGGAGTGAGCAGAACATTTTTCTGGGGAGAAGGTCCATAGTTTCCTGGCTATATACAAGGCTTAGAGTCTTGGTGTAAGGAGCTCTAGTAGCATAGTGGTTACGAATCGGGCTGCTAACCTCAAAGTCGGCAGTTTGCAACTACCAGCTGTTTCATGGGAGAAAGATTTACAGCCTCAGAAACCCTGTGCAGGGTTACTATGAGTCGGGACCGACTTCACGGTACTTAACAACAAGAGTCCTGGTATGGCACTGTAGGATAAGCATTGGATTGCTAACTACAAGGTTGATGGCTCAAACCCACCAGCCACTCCTCACAAACCATACACAGAATCACTATGAGTCAGAACCGACTCAGGAGCACTTAACAACAACAACAAAGATAAGAGGATCAATTTTTAGTAGACACCAATCAAATGGGAGTAAAAGAAAATTCCAGAGCAGCCTACTGTCTCCTTTGAGTCACCTAAACCCTGTGAAAGCCAACATTTATTGAGGTCTTACTATGTGTCAAACACCATGCCTTTTAATCTCCACCATGGATTTCTGGTGTGACACTGTAGGATAAGCCCTGGACTGCAAGGTTGGTTTGAATCATAGGTCGGTAGTTCAAACTCACCAGCTGTTCCTCAGAAACCCTATACAGGATGGCTATGAGTCAGAACCTATTTGATGGCACTTAACAACAACAACAAATCTTCACTATCATCACTTCATGAAGTCAATCCTATTGTCTTCTTTTTCACATGTCAGGAAGGTGAGGTACACAGAGGTTAAGTGACATAGCTAGCAAGTGAAGCCTGGTTCTAACCCCAGCACACAGATCCCAAAGGTAGTGCACCTAATCACTTTTTTCTGTACTGGTGTAGTGCTTTAGGATAAGCACTGGACTGCTGACCATAGATCAGAGATTCAAAACCACCAGCCATTTCCTCAGAAACCTTATGTTATTATTGTTAGGTATAGTCGGAGTTCCAACTCATTGCGACCCCATGCACAACAGAACAAAACATTGTCTGGTCCTATGCCATCCTCACAATTGATGCCATTCTTGAGTCCAGTGCTGCTGCCACTGGGCCAGTCCATTTCATTGTGGGGTGGGGGGGTCTTCCTCTTTAGCTGACTCTCCACGTCACCAAGCAGGATATCCTTTTCCACGAACTAGTCTCTCCTTTGGACATGTTTGAAGTAGAAGAGACAAAATCTGACAATCCTGGCTTCAAAAGAGCATTCTGTCTGTACTTCTTACAGCACAGATTCGTTTGTTCTTCTGGCAGTCCATAGTACTTTTAATTCTCTCCCCCAACACTATAACTCAAATGCATCCATTCATCTACACTGTCCAACTCTCACATGCATATGAGGCTACTGAAAATATAAATGCTTGGGGTCAGGCACATCTTAGTCCTCACACTGATATCTTCAAAGAAGACTTGTGCAGCAGATTTGCCTAATACAATATGTCATTTGATTTCTTGACTGCTGTTTTCATGAGTGTTGATTGTGGATCCACGCAAAATGAAGTGTTTGACAACTTCAATCTTTTCTCCATTTAGCATGATGCTATTATTGGCACAGTTGTGAGGATTTTTGTTTTCTTCACATTGAGGTGCAATCTGTACTGAAGACTGTAGACTTTGATCTTCATCAGGATTTTAAGTCCTCTTCACTTCCAGCAAGTAAGGTTGTATCATCTGCATAGCCGACATACAGGGCCGCTATGAATTGTAACTGACTTGATGGCACTTAAAAACACCAACAACAATACCTACATAAGGAGCCCTGTTAACACAGTGGTTAAGTGTTAGACCACTAACCAAAAGGTCAGCAGTTCATACCCACCAGCTGCTCTGTGGGAAAAAGATGAGGTAATCTGCTTCTGTAAAGATTTACAGTCTCAGAAACCCTGTGGGGCAACTCTATTCTGTCCTATAGCGTCTCTATGATTGGAATCAACTTGAAGATAGTGGGAGTGAGTAATACCAAATACACTGCATTGCAAGTTTCTGAGTATTGGCTGCCTCTTCTTCCGAGAGTAAATGTTCCTAACAGCCAAAACTTATGCCCTTCTGTACCTCCAGCTCCTAGTACAGTAGCTGACACATAGTACATGTTCAAGAAATGGTAGGTAGACGTGAGCATGGTAGAAACAGAGATTATTCAAAGTCAGTGTGGGCTGGTCATCACTAGATCAGTTTTGATTAGCATAATGTAGCTTAATGAGCTTGGCCAGGCGTGAGACCAAGTTGCCTTCTGGAAAAGCCTTGGTTTGAATGGAATGAATGGTCTATTCTACTCTCCAACAAAGAAGAATGATATGAGAGACTAATCTCAAAGAAGACCAAGCCACCCAGATCCACGTCAGAACTGATCAGGTCCTGGAGGAATCCTCTTGGCATTCAAGCCAACCTTCATATACATTATTTCACCCATTAGGTCAGGACTGGATGCGGCCATTAAGGCCAGAGAAACAAACAGGTTCCAGGCAGCATCTGTCCTAGTACCTTCTCCTCGAGGATGGTGGTGTTGTTAAGTGCCGCCAAGCTGATTTTGACCCGTAGCAACCCTGTATAAGGGTTTCTGAGGAGCGCCTGATGAGCTTCAACCACTAACCTTGAAGTTCAAACTGACTTTGCAGTCCAGCGCATTAACCCACAGCAACCACACTAGGACTCCCTCCTCTGGGATTGAGAGTGTGAAAGATGAAGCTGTCCTGGGACCTCCTTACCATCAGTGGTGCAGAGAGGTGACTGAGGGAAAGTACATTAAAACCTTCCCATAATAGTCATGAACCTCTAATCAAATCTACCCACTTCTTTTCGAAATAATAATATCCTTGGAAAGAAGACAACCAACATTTTGTCAGTCTTGTTAAGTGCTGTTGAATTGTTTCCATCCAACTCATAGCAACTCTGTACGGGGTTTCAGAGGCTGTAGATCTTTGTAGGAGCAGAAAGCCTCATCTTTCTTCTGAGAGTGGTTGGTGGGTTTGCAGTCTAGTGCTTATCCTACAGAGCCACCACGCTCCCTTCTCAGTAATATGCAAAGCAAAAATAAAAGGATCCATAGAAAATACACCTATTTTTATTATAAAAAATGGTCAATGTAAGTTAAAATAAAAAGTACTTGTATGCCTTCCTGTAAACTCAACTTCATGACAAATCCTCTAGACACCCACCCCAGCCCTGGCCCTTCCAAAAAATTGGGAGCTGCCATAACTTCTGAATCCCCTCACAGCCCCGACCCCAAAAGACGGTGTTTCTGACCTGTCTGCGCAGGAGTTGTACTTAACCATGCTCAATATGGCAGCCATGATGAAGAACATCAGGATGGGGTCAAGGAGGATGTACTGAGACAGAGTGAGGCATCCTGTGTCTGCAACGAGAGGAGTCAGAGTTGAGGCCCACTGAGAACCAAACTCCCGGACAGGAGGAAACAGTTCCCTTTGCACAAAAGGACTTGGGCAGTCAAGGCTAGATGGGCTGCTGAGTCATTAGGGCTCCATCAGGGAGGCAGAAGACCAGAGCTTTGGGGTATGTGTGCTAAAAGCCCAGTGACAAGAAACAGTATCTCACATCAGCTTGACTCATACACTGAGCTAGAGCAGTCCTGAGACCAGGGCTCTCCCTTATTGCATCATCAAAAAGGGAGTATTACAGCCACAAACAACCTATATTCATAGAGTCTTACCATTTTACATAATGGCTCTGTTGAGAGCTGATTCTCCATACAGCTGCCAGAGTATGGGGTTTTCTTTTAATTTTTTGTGGGTTTTTTTTTTTTTAACTTAGACTCCCTTACATTAACATTATATCCCAAATGAAACTCTCCATATCACTTAGTGTGGAACCCAGTCGTCTCCCAGATCTGCATGGACTTTCCTCTGCGACCTCATCTCCCATCACCCTCTGCCTTACTTGTTCTACTCTGGTTACATTGACCTTGTTGCTGTTCTTTGAATTGACTGAGTGCTGCCTTGAACCAGGACCACTGCACTAGCTGACTTGCTGTTCCCTCTGCCTGGGACACTCTTCCTATAGGTCTCTGCATGGGTTTATCCTTTGCTTCATTAAGGTCTCTGATCAAAACCACCTCCTCGGAGAGTGGTTGATTTTGCAGTCCTGGAGCGGAGATCCCTGGAACCATCAAGGGAGAAAAGCAAAGTGCGGGACCCTATCCAGAAAAGCAGTGACACCAGGGGTCGAGGCAGAGGCAATGCCATGGAGAGTGAGAGCAGCTGGGAACTCTAGACTCAGGGAGGGAGAGGGGCTATGTGCTGGCGGCCGGGGGGCAGGCGTGCGGGGGTGTACCTTTTGGTTGTTTGATGATGCATACAGGGGACTGTAATCATTGCAGTGAAACAAAATGTGATAGGATGAATGTAAAGATAATGTTCTCCCATGTAAACTATCCCATAATTCACAATAAAAACTTTAAAACAAAAAACCACCTCCTCAGGAAGCCTTTCACTGATCCTCTTCTTTCCCCAAATAGTATTGCTTCTCATTAACTTACCCTGCTTTTTTTACATTGCACTTAATGCTTAAGACATTACACTACAGATTTCTTTATTTACTTGCTTATTTATTGTCTGCTTCACTAGAAGGTGAGGTTCAATGACAGCACATTGTCTCATCAGTTATGATGACCCAAGAAAAGGGCCTGGGACAGAACAGGCACTAGATAAACAGTTGCTAAATAAAAAATGAATAAATGACTGAATGAACAACTGAACAGAAAAATTAAAAACACATGGGAAAAAAAACACAAATCCCATAGGGAGACACCTACATTCTGGGGAAATATCTATCAAAACAAAGCCAACACCACCCCTAAAACACCAAATTAAATTGGTGGTTTAGATGACCATAAAGCATGAATTCACTCACATAAGAACAAGGTTAGCAAGTGGATCAACTTCTATTGTCAATTCATATTTATCTTAATTATTAAATAATGCAAATATTTATGTTGTCATTTTGCTATCCCTCGTCATCCAGCTAGCTACTTGTGGCACATCTGTCCTTGAATTCAGTTGAAATGAGTTTAGGAAATACAAACTAGATATAGCTTATTATGCATTCTAAATTCAAATGTGGATAACTTGGAAATTAGTTCTTGGAACTACCCATGCCACATTTGGAGGTTATTTCTTGGAATTATTCCAATAACACAAAAGCTTGCTACATACAAGCATTTATATTTGTAGGTATTGTCAGTGAATTACATGAGATTGTATACATTTTACACAAATTTAAACTTAATGAAGAACTAGGCCCATAGATAAGGCCCTTTAACATTGATGTCCAGCTGTATTAATAGTGTGGCAGTCAATTCCCCATGAAACGTGGTATAAAATGACTTACCAAAGGTGAGGAGAGCAGCGGTGAGCAGAGCCGCCGGGACAGACTTGGATAGCTCCAATACAGTGAGGTAGGCAAAGGGGATCAACCAGGAACCCAGGAATGCACAGAACTGGGGAAGGAATAGAAAAGCAGGCAAACAACAGACTATGCTACGTGTCAAGGGTCTGCATGACTTTAAGATGAAGGGTCTTGACAACCTTGGCTACCTAAAATTATCTGAAATAAGAAAGAGGTGCTATAACATTAGAGAGGCAAATCCAAAAATACATTTGTTTCCTCTGAGCACCAATGTATGCACTGACATGAAATCGACAAAATTATAGCAGCTGCTATAAATTTATGATTCCAGGAAGATGTGGGCAGAACAGCACAATGGCTTCATGCGGTGGACTCCAGTGTTGGCCTGCCCCATCACTGCCCCATCAGGCTTGGCAATCTGCTTCTGAAAGGTCCCAGCCTTGAAAACCCTGTGGAGTAGGCCTACTATGCACACATGGCGCCTCTATGAGCTGAACTCCACACAACAGCAACGAACACCTCTCCATCCACCGCACTGCCCATCAAAAGCAAATAAGCCAAAAAAAAAAAAAAAAAAAGAGAGAGAGAGAAGACCAGGGAAATGGGAAATCCTCACATGTGGGTTGACATTATTTGTCAAGCAGAGTCATGGTGTCCAGGGTGAAAGACAGCAAGGCTGTTCTATTTGACCCCTCATTGTGGACTCAGTCCACAATACGCAACTGGAGGGAGGTTGGCAGAGGAAAGATGGGGTGGTAGGAGACACAGAGGAATTCAGTGGTTGGAGTTAATAGAGGTAAATGCTGTTAACTGTTGGTTCATGGAGGGGATTGCAACCATGGATAAGGTGGAGAGTCAGAGAAAAAGAGGAAGACCCCTAACGAGATGGATTGGCCAGGTGGCATCATTGATGGACTCAAGTGTGGCAGCGGTTGTGAAGTTGGCCCAGGATCGGACATTGTTTTGTTTTACTGTGCATGGGGTCGCTATGAGTCCATTCCAACTCAATGGCACCTGACAACAACAACAATGAAGCAAAATATGTGATTTGTTGAATGTAAAACTTATGATCTGCTACGTAAACCTTCACTCAATTCACAATAAAAAGTTTTTAAAAAAAAAGAAAAGAAACGAAAGGGGCCCCAAGAGACAGACGCTGCTCCAGCAGCCATGGTTACAAAGAAGGAATGTATAACTGGCCAGTCCCAAGGCTACAGGAAATGCCTAGCTGCCTGAGTCCAGGCTGCTCTCCAACCTGAAATCTGCTTCACATGGGCAGGTAGACAGGTGACAGCCAGCATGTGCTTGCTTCTATCGCTGCAATCTCTGTATGATCGGTGGTCTCTCCCTCCCTTCTTCCCACCCCAGTTCTGAACACCTGCCCATGTCCAGGACTTCCACCTGTAACATCTGACTGAGTGTGGCCCCGGGGTCTAGTCTATAGCAAGTCAGGAAGCCTTACTCCTCTCATGCCCATGTAGCTGTGATGCTCGTATTTGTCCCCCGGCTTCAGGAACAAAAAGGTGCCATCATAGCCACTCAGGTAGCCAGCAAGACCTATCAGCATCTGAGAAGAGAAGAAGAAAACACACAAATAAGAGACCTTTGGGAGGAGATTTCTGTGTCCCCTAAACCTCCCTCCAGATGCACCCACAGACACTGGCTTCCCTTGACAATTGTCTTCAGAAGGAGTTGCTAATGGAACATTTCCTCCTGCAGCTGTTGCAGAGCAAAGACCCTTTTGTCTGTGGTGCTAACTGCTAGAAACAAATCCTCTCTGTTTCTATGTCCCTGGGAACAGTGCAGATTGAAAGTTTAGGAAGAGAAAAGATGCAATTTGAAAGGCTGAGCCAATGAGGGGCTCTGCCATTCAGCCTTCTTGAATGTGCTCTGAAATAAAACACCAAGGCTCCTAAAGGAGATCATAGGCACAGGCTGACACGGGCTCTAATCCCTGAATCTTGCTAACCCAGTCTTGGAAGGTAGACTGGCCTTCTGAAAGAAAAATGAGGTCCCGAATCAGGATGAAGAGGAAAAAAAGCAGGAGCTGCACATCATGAAGAGAAAGCAGGGAAGCAAAGGAGACAGCGAACTGCAGAAACAGCACATTCCCCAGAATCTAGAAAGAGGCAAAAAGTCCCCTTGGAAAACTGCCAAAGGCCGGAGACTGGCTTCTCCCATTTCCAACATCCAAAGCAGGCAACCTTGGCTCTTCCCAGACCAGAACCAAATCAACTACAAACTGAAACAGTGAGTCATGAGTCCTGCAAAATATTCCAGGGGATCCGCCTCTCCATTTTTGTCTTTCTTGCCTCTCAACTTTATCAAATTCTCTTTTTCACACTCAGAAGCAGCTGGAGTGTAACAACTATCAGCAAACACCAATGGTGTGCCAACCCCAGGCTGCTCCAGCCTGACCTTGCTCAGCCTGGGTGGGAAAGGCTCGTGGTGCTTGGATACGGATCAGTACCCACCTCACTCTTTCCCAAAGTACTGCCACACAGGGTCACCCTCTATAGTTCTAGGTCAAGGCACAAAAAATAAAATTCAGCAGCAGTTTTCTGAGGAGTAGCCAATGGGTTTGAACCACCAACCTTTCTGTTAGCAGCTCAGTGCTTATTCTACAGCACCACACCAGGACTCTATTGTAAGGATGCTGTTGTGTGCCTTCGAGTCGGTTCCAACTCATAGTGACCCTGTATAGCAGGGGTGGGGAATGTCCAGTCTACAGGCAATATTTTGTTGTTGTTATGTGCTGTGGAGTCGGTTCCAACTCATAGCGACCCTGTACAGGGTTTCCGAGGCTGTAAATCTTTACGGGAACAGAAAGTCTCATCTTTCTCCTGCGGAACAGCTGGCAATTTCGAACTGCTGACCTTGCAGTTTGGAGCCCGATTGTAACCGCTACCAGAGCTCCATATAAGGCCAGTGAAAGCATTTGGTCTGGTCCTGCAAAGGCAACCACAGGTGCAACCATCACGTTGTTGTTGTTAAGTTTCGAAAGTTGCTTCTGACTCATAGTAACCTTGTATAGGGTTTCCCAAGGAGCAGCTGCTGGGTTTGAATTGCCGTCCTTGTGGTTTGCAGCCCAGTGATGAGCTAATTAAATGTTTGACCAAATATAGCTGACTAATTTTTAAGTTGATAATTTTGTGTATTACAAATTTTGGTAGAAAAAAGGTTCCCTACCTCTGCTGTACAGGGTATCCAAGAGCACTCATGTGTTTGAACTGCAAATCTTGCAGTTGGTGCAGTTAGCAGTCCAGTGTTAACCTACATGAACTGAAACTGACAGGGTAATCAAGTATGTCCCTTGCCACCGGAGATAAAATTTAATATCTCTGAGCTAAAGGTGATAAAGAGGAGTACTGGTGGGCTACATGTTGGGCTGGTAACCATAAGGTCAGCAGTTCAAATCCACCATGTGCTCCATAGGAAAACAAGGAGGCTTTCTGCTGCCATGAAGACGTATAGTCTCAAATCCTACTTAAGGTTACTGTAAGTTAGAATCAATGCAATGGCAGTGGGTTTGGCTTGGCAGTGGGTATAAAGGAGTCCTGGTGTGGCATTGTGGGTTAATGTGCTGGACTGCAAAGTCGGTTTGAAACGCAAGGTCGGTGGTTCAAGCTCACCAGCCACTCCTCTGAAATCCTATACAGGGTTGCTATGGGTCAGAACGGACTCGACGGCACTTAACAACAACAACATCAGACACTTAAAGGAGCTCTGGTAGCATAGTGGTTATGAATTGGGCTGCTAATTTCATGGTAAGCAGTTTGAAACTACAGGAACCCTGTTACAGGGTTGCTATGTGTTGGAACCGACTCCATGGCACACAACAACAACAACAATCAGACTCTTAAAGGAGCTCTGGCAGTGTAGTGGTTATGAGTCAGGTTACTAATCACAGGCTTTCTGCTTCTGTAAAGATTTACAGCCTTGGAAACCCTATGCAGGGTCGCTGTGAGTTAGAATCAACTCCACGACACACCACCATGACCACTACCACCACACACTTAACACACATTCAAAAAGCAGTAATCTCTCTCATTTACCTTAACTTTAAAAGTAGTCCTGAGCTAATTTTCTAATTAAACAACTTATTCGAATAAATACAGAAAAGATGAACAACCTATTTGAAAAAGGGGCAAATTCAATGAAAACAAATTGTTAGTAAGCATTGGGTAAAATATTCAGCCTAACTCAAAGACAAGTAAATGAAACAGTGATAGACCATATTAAACTCCAATTAGCGACAATTTTAAAGTATGTGCAGAACAGGGTTGTCAATGGTGGGGAAACAAGTACTTTCATACTTATTATGTCTTTTCTAACATGGTGTTTGTAACTCCCATCAAACAATTAGGTTGGAACATGCAAACAGGGTGTAAGGGACTCTAATGCAGGGATTGGTAGTGTTGCCATGCTGCTGGGTTTAAAAAGAGTCATCTCAGAACCAGGAATCGATGATCCAAGACCATCAAGAAAGAAGAGCCACAAGTGGAGCATGAGATCCCTGCCCAGAGAGGCGGCAGCAGAGGCAGTGATGTGGAGAATAGAGCAGCTGTAGAACTCCCGGCCTCTGGACTGAGTAAAGCTCAGTGCCTATGGGAAGGAGGATGGCTTACAGAACGTGCCTTTGAGCATTTACAGACAGGCCAAAGGAGATATGCAACTCTTGCCCTAGCAGGGCAAGAGGTCAAGGGATCATATGGCTGAGAAGCTGAAGACAAGAGTGAGGCGTGCCTACAGTACGGCAGAGAAGAGGGTTTCCTGGCTGGAGAACTGCTGCATCCTGAGTTGTTTCTGATCCTGAATTGTACTCTGTTCAATTCCTTAATAAACCTCATAATCGTGAGCTCTGTGTGGCCATTGCAATGGATTATCAAACCTGGCAGAGAAGAATGTGTTGGGAAGGACAGTTGGTGTCAGAAGAGGATAAAGAAGGTTTAAGGGTAGAGGCATGTCTGACCTCCACCTCATAGGAATCGGTCTTGGGCTGATTTTGAGTTTGATCCTCCTTCCCCCTTGTGAAGTCAGAGGAAGTCAGACATGGCCTTCAATCCATCTTTGTAATAAATATTACAATTTTTTTACAGGGAAACTTGGCAATGTCTAACACAATTTTAAATGTACATACCCTTCAACTCTTCAGTTCAGCTGCTAGAAATCTTTCAGAAATTCATATGTGCACAACTATGCAAAAATACATGTACAAGGATGTTCAAAACAATAGTTTTTGTAATGGTTAAAAATTGAAATAACTTAAGTGCCCATCAACTAAAGAGTAGTAAAAATAATTTATGGTACATTATATACTGGCAGTCCCCAATGAATGACATATTCAAGTTATGATGAATCGCACTTACAACCATCTGTTGTTTTCAAATGATTTGTGTATTTTTATGCATGTGTACATTTGTATGTATTAAAATATATCTGTAAGTTTATATGTAGTGCTTCCAGCCCTCAAAGACAAATGAAGATTAGATTTCTAAAGATACTGATTAATAAAGGTAATAACAATAAAAGTAAAAAAAAAAAAAAAAATTAAATATTCAAATAAAGACGAAACTATCGTAGTGAAGAGGAAGCCCATTGTAAGTCTGGGTCTACCTGAAATGGACTGACCCAGCTGTCATTAAATTGATTCCAACTCATGGCAGCCCCATGTGTGTCAAAGCAAACTGCTCCAGCGGCTGATATTTTCTTTTTTTAGAAGTAGATCACCAAGTCTTTCTTCCAAGGCACCTCTGGGTAGAAACAAACTACCAGACCTCTTGTTAGAAACTGAGCACTGAATCATTTTCACCACTCAAAGCAAAAGAATGGAATGTTTATCTTTATGTATCGATGTGGGAAAATGTCTATATCATGCTTAAAATAAAAGGTGTTGAACAATTTTAGTCTCATCCACTAGTGTTTTTAAGAAGGATCATGTATGTATGCAGGTACATGTATTTGTTTGTATAGATACATATGTGTCCATATAATGTGCTATGTGCCCATATGTAAAAAGAGGCATTATTGTTGTTGTTATGTGCCTTAGAGTCAGTTCCAACTCGTAGTGACCCTGTACAGGGTTTCCAAGGCTGTACATCTTTATGGAGGCAGAAAACCTCATCTTTCTCCCATGGAACAGCTAGTAGTTTCAAACTACTAACCCTGAGTTTAGCAGCTTGATTCGTAATCACTACGCTACCAGAGCTCCTTACATGTATATAAAAAAAATTCCTCAGGGGATATACTCATATAAGAAACTATCAACAAAGGTAACTATGGTTACCTTTGGGGACAAGAAATGTGGAGTGCGAAGGCTCTTGACCTTTTATATTTTTCTGTATTGATAAACTTTTTAACATATACAGGCATTTTAATTTTTTTTATAAAGAGTACCTACTGACCTGCAGAAAAAAAAAGCCGACTATCAAGCAGACTAAGCTGTTTGCTTTGGCTGCATCAAGCCAAGAAAAGTCAGCCCATCAGGGAAAACCCCTTTCTAAGACTGAAACTCAAGGAAACCTGGCAGCAGTCTAGTATGCTCGCTGGTCACCACCCTGGTCTACTTGTGAGTGAAAGTGGGGGAAACGCAGCAATGAAGACATGGGCTGAATTTGCCATGTTCCACTGACACCCACTGACCTCAAGATGAGAGAGAAAAGAAGAAGGCCTGGCTGGTGTGAAGTTTAGGGGAGATGTGTGAACTTCCAAGTCCATGAGCACTTACCTAGCCACTGGGGGCTAGAGTGTGAGTGAAGCAGCCAACTGGTCGGAAGTGCAGGAAAGCATGCGTGAACTCCCACACTTGCAGCTAGTACCCATTTGACCTAGCTTGGATGGCTAGATGACCAGGACTTGACCAATGAAGGTAAATTACTACAATTTGATGAACTAGACCTTTGCTTATGGATGCAGTTGCTCAAACTTCCAATTGGAATGGAAGGATTCTTCATATCAAGGAACAAGCTTGTTTCCTAAGTTCACTGGGTTCATAGGGACAGGCACTGTAAACACTGGCTACCAACAATGAGGGGCTAATATAAACTATCACTCTATTCAAAATAAAAGCTTAAAAAAAAAAATGAGGGGCTATAAAGTCATGAAGTGGCTGGCTTACAAGCTTTCATGAGTGTGCTTAGTTTCAGAAGGAAGCTGGCAAGGTAGAATTCCCCCTGAATAGTTTTTTTCTTATTCAGATGGACCTGGTGAAAGGGGATAGGGGATAGGGTTTTATGATTCTGATCATATTTTTGTGAGTAATTGTTAGCAGGATTAATTGTGATTGTCATTGCTGTACTTGTAGAAGATGTGGAACTAAAAGGAGGCTTTTTCATTTTAGGAACAGAGGATCCCAGGACCATCAAGAAGGAAGAGTATGAGTGGAGTGTGAGATCCTACCTAGGAAAGCGGTGAAGCAGAGCTGGTGGCAGAGGTGATGGCATGGAGAGACGGAGCAGTTGCGGGCTCTAGGACATGGATTGAGTAAGGCTGTGTGCCTACAGGCAGGAGGCTGGCTTGTAGAATATGCCCTTAGGACATTTAAATGAATATGTGCTTTTTGTTTTGTATGTATACATCAAATATTTTTGCTTTGTTCATTTGTGAAATATAAGCTGTAAAAGGGAAGAAGTAGGAGAACTGTTGTTGTAGGGAGTGGACTGTAATCATTGAGATGAAACAAGGTGTATAGTTTGTTGAATGTAAAGCTGATGATCTCATCTGTTAACTTCACTCAATTTACAATAAAAAGTTTAAAAAAACAAACAATATAGTACCTGCTTTTCTGGAGCCCATAGGCACCTAAATGATTCCTGGTAGTGCAGTGGGTTAGGCATTGGGCTGCTAACTGCAAGATTAGTGGTTCAAACCCAGCAGCTGCTCTGCTTGGTAAAAGATGAGACTATCTGCTCCCGTCCTTATGAGTTGGAATTGACTCAGTGGCAATGGATTTGGGTTTTGGTTTTCTGCACTGAGGACTGGGAATCAATGAGAAGTAGCTTCAGTAGCATGGGAAAACATGTCCTTCAAGCTACCTAGAGGGGCTTTTTGATTCTATAGTTGGCCTGGTCTCAGAACCTATGAAACAGCTACTTGTTCTCTAACATGTTTCCAACTTGCTATCATGCTCTTCCTACCAGGTAGAGCATAGACCCATCAGGAGATCAATTAGGGAGATATTACCTGAAAGACGCCTCCCATCCCTTCCTTCTCATGAGAGGTCAGATGTGAGGAATGAAAGACTCCAGGAAATTCAGCCAACCAGTCATATTTTTTACATATCCACACTGTGCTGGGGAGCAAGGTGACTCCATACGACAAGCACGGGACTGCGAACCACAAGGTTCGCAATTCGAGCCCACCAGCCTCTCCGCGGGAGAAAGATGAAGCTTTCTGCTGCCATGAAGATTTAAAAGACTTGGAAACTCTATATAGGGTCACTAAGAGTCGGAACTGACTCAACGGCACTTAATAACAACAACATTGTGCTGAGCACTGTTGTTAAGTGCTGTTGAGTTGGTTCTGATTTATAGTGACCCTGTATAGAGTTTCTGAGGAGTAGTCAGTGAGTTTGAGTCACCGACCTTGAAGTTAGTAGTCTGGTGTTTATCCTACAGCACTACACCAGGACTCCAAGCTGAGTACTTCTTGTTGTGGTTGTTAAGTGTCGTTCAGTCAGTTTCAACTCTTAACGACCCTGTACTGGGTTTCCAAGGAGCAGCTGGTGGGTTTGAATTGCTGACCTTGTGCTTCAGTCCAGTGTGTATCCTACAGCACCAAACCAGGAGTCCATGCTGAACACTGTTGCTGTTGTTGTTAAGTGCCATAAAGCCAGTTCTGACTCATAGCGACCCTGTACTATATAGGGTTTCCAAGGAGCAGCTGGTGGTATTGAACCGCTAACCTTGTGGCTCACAGTCCAGTGTTGATCCACTGCACCACACCAGAGTCATAGATTTCCTTAAAATAAAAAAAATCTCTTTTATCAGAAGAGGTCCAATTCTCAGGCTACCCCAATGCTGTTCATTCAATACATTTTGTTGCTTATCATGTGACACTGCATGATAATGCACTGGACTACAAGGTTAGTTTGAACTGCAAGGTCGACAGTTCAAACTCACCAGCCAATTCTCAGAAATCCTATACAGGGTTACTATGAATTGGAACCAACTCAACAGCACTTAACAACAACAAAAAGAGATCTCGTCTGAGTTCTAGAAGAAGGCAAGTTCATGAGGCAGTGTGGTATGATTGTTAAGGAAACACACTCAAAGCCAGTCTGCACTTTGATTCGGCTACTTAGCTTGGTGCCTTCCGGGAAGCTAGTTACACTCTTCTGTGCCCCATGGGGATACCATAGTGCCTACATCACAGGGTTATTCTGAGGATCACATGAAATAATGCGTCTAAGGTGACTGGAATGGACCAAGTGTCCAATTGCTCCTATTCTTACTATTGTAATGTTGTAAAGGAGACAGGAAGAGCATAACATTTTGATTCCTTTCCTGGGCTCAAAGCTAATATTAAAATAGCCCACCTGTCCCACCCACCCCCTTTTTACTCCTCCCACATTCAGGGTCCCTACCCCTAGTCCCTACCCTAGGTTCTCATGCTTCCCTATCACAGATCAGCCCTTTCCTCCCACCTGGCTTCATCTGCAAGTAATCCATGCTCCAAAATCACACCCCCAAGCAAATTCCTGTCCCCTTTCTTCTTAAGATCTCAGTATCCAGTTAGGAAGAAAGGATTGGGTGAGGGCTAATCCATTAGACTCCTGAGAGTTGTTTGTTGCTAAAAGAGTAAAGTGAGTCCTGATTTGTGGAATTTTTGACCGCAAACCATGCCAGAGCAACTGGTCAAAGAATGTGTCTGCAAGAAGCAGGAAGAGGGGGAGTCTAGCTCCCAAGTGAAAGGTCTGCTAACTTAGTTCTGCTTTGTGCAGTGTATCCCTACTCTCCATTCTTTTTTTCTTTTTTCACATTGAGATATAATTCACCTACTTTAAAAGTCACCATTTTAAAGTGTACAATTCAAGTGCTTTTTAGTATATTCACAAAGTTCTACAACCAACACTACTATCTAATTTCAGAATATTTTCATTCTCCCCTCAAAAAGCCCCTTACCAGTTAGCAGTCATTTCCCATTCCTCCATTCTTCAGTCTCATGCAACTACTAATCTACTTCTTATCTTTATGCATTTACCTAATCTGGACATTTCCTATGCGGTCTTTTGTGTCTGCTTTCCTTCACTTAGCTTAATTTTTTAAAATTCATCCATGTGGTAGAATGTATTAGTAATTCATTCCTTTTTGTGGCTGAATAAAATATTCCACTGTAGAGATAAACCAAGGAGCTCTAGTGGTCAAAATGCTTAGTTACAAATCAAAACATTGGTGGTTCGGACCTACCAGCCATTCTGTGGGAGAAAGATGTGGCAGTCTGTTTCTGCAAAGACTGCAGCTCCGGGAGACTCTGGGGCAGTTCTATTCTCTCCTATAGGATCATGGTGAGCCAGAATTGACTTGACAGTCATGGGTTTTGAAGTTTTGAATAGATAAACCATATTTTGTTTATCCATTCATCAGTTGATGGCCCCCTCTCCAGTTCTGAACCCAAATGGTCCCTAAAAACACCAAAGCTTTTCCATAAAAGTAGTTGGTTTGGAATATTTTGGGAATTATTCCTACATGCTCAAGAATTAAATCCAAAGCCAAGACTTGGCTCCAATCCAGCGGGCAGGGTATGAGCCACGCTCACCTTTCCCAGAGGTGGATGCACATCAAAGAAAAAGGTGCGGTTGATATAGTAACTTCCCATTTTTCCGAAGTGAGTCTCATCCCAGCTGGAAGAAAAAAGAGATAAATGAAAATTTTTCATTGATCATTAAACTCAAATAGCCTTAATTAAGCATGGTTAAAACCAAGGGCTACAACTTTCAAGCAATTAGTGAGAAAGTCTGGATTTATATATGTACATATGGTTATTTTAAAGCTTTTATTGTGCATTGAGTGATAGTTTATATGGGGGAACATCACTTTTGCACTTATCCTATCATATTTCATATCATTACAATGATTACAATCCACTCCATGCATCACCATTCAACAATATTTGCTTCTTATTCCCTCGTTTTGTTTTTAACACAAGTGAGCAAGACATCAAGTTGCTCATTAATCTTCATTTAGAGAGTTAGGAAAGGTTAGCACATATTTATCAACCAATTACCAAAAATGTAAGTTAAATCTATACTTCTGCATGTTGTATACATGCAGGGCAAAGGGCTCTCCTGCAATATGGAAAAGTTTGTATGAAGAATTTTCTTTCAAGTCTGTTACCCTCTTATGATGCTTGTGTTTAGAAACCACATTACAACATTGTTAGGATACTGACCCCACAAAGGCTACAAACCGTGACTGTCACCAGAGTCTGATTTTGCTCATCAATCTTGTGCTAATTACTCTGCTGACTGGTCTCACTATAATTAACTAAACTAACCATTATCTGAAGGACCTGCTAACCTCAAGGTCAGCTGTTCAAAACTACCAGCTGTTCCGCAGCAACAAGATGAGCCTTTCTGCTCCCGTAAAGATTTACAGCCTCGGAAACTCTGTGCAGGGTCGCTATGAGTCGGAACCGACTCCACGGCACATAACCACTACCACCATCACCAACCAGTATATGAAGGGACTTCAGAAAGTTCTTGGAAAAATTCCATTATCTTTCAGTTCCATTTTCTACAAACTTTTTTTAAGCCCTCTCATATAAAATTGGAGGACTTTCTTATTACACTGAGAACATAATTAAAACCCATTCTTGTTGTTTCAGTTACTTTATAAATAAACTGACAGGTTAGCTATTAAACACAATGCAAAGTCTTGTTCTCCCACATAATCACATTAACAGCTTTCCTACACATTTGTTAGTTACTGCCATCAAGTCATTTCTAACCATGGTAAACCCACGTGATTCAAGTACAGCTGCTTCATCGGGTTTTCAAAGTTTATGTTGTAGAAGTAAATCTCCAGGCCTGTCTTCTGAGGCACACTGGAGGGTTTGGACCACCAACCTTTTAGCTAGCTGCGCACTTAACTGCTTGCACCATTTCTGGTTTTCCATTTTCCATACAGCACCATAGAATTGATGCTTTGGGGTGGCGCTGTGGGTTAATGCACTGGACTGCAAAGTCAGTTTGAATCGCAAGGTCAGTGGTTCAGGCTCACCACCTGCTCCTTGAAAACCTTATATAGGGTCGTTATGGGTCAGAACCAACTTGACGGCACTTAGCAACAACAACAACAGGAACATTAAATATACCATGGACTGCCAAAAGACAAAAAAGTCTGTGTTGGAAGAAGTTTAGCTACAATGTTCCTTAGAAAGGAATAAGGTGAGACTTTGTCTCACATACTGTGGACACGTTATCAAGAGGGACCAATCCCTGGAGATCAAGCTTGCTAAAATAGAAGGTCAGTGAAGAAGAGGAAGCACTTCAACAAGATGAACTGATACATTAGCTGCAACAATGGGCTCAAACATAGGACCTACTGAGCTAGCAGTACTTCATTCTGTTACACATAAGCTCGCTATGAGTCGGAATCGACTTTGACAGCACCTAACAACAAGTGACTTGACGGCACTTAACAGCAACAATGACAACCTACAGCTCAGAAGATGATTATCCAGCCCCAGATCAGCTTCCATAAACAGTCCCTACCCACCTACCACATATGGAGCAAAATATGTTTTTTCCTGTAATATTCTTACATGTACTCAGTGATTCCAATAGATGGGCAGCAGAATAATCTGTCATACACACTGCTTGACAGGTAAGAATGGTTGGCATGGTGATGTCAAAGAGAAATGACATCAAATCAGTGTGATAAAATCGATATACAGAAAGGGAGAGAGGTCCAGCGCCAGCTCCACAACTTACTGACAGCCTGACCTAGAAAACTCATTCTTGTTCTCTGGACTTCTTTTCTCATCTACCCAATGAAGACAATAATAGTATCTGCCATGTCCCTCTCCCTAATCTGAGTTAGTGGTCGCCTCACATAATGTATGTATAAGAAAACTGGAAAGTACTACACATGGTGGGCATTATTTAAACTGTCCCAGTAATTGTGCTTTATTCTGAAGTTTTCTTGGAAACATACTGAAAAAGGGGCATGAAATTTGTACTTTGAAAGTTTCCGAAGTAAAACTAGCAGTGACATTCACTTTTCCCCTTGGCTTTTATTGTTTGTGTCAGGAGAGACAGCCCTCCACAGGTCTCTCTTGCTCCTACATGTCTTGCGGAGTATGCCAAGATTGCAAGGCCCTAACTCTTTAGCCAGACCATTTCTCAGAGTCATATTTGCAGCAGACAACCCTGAGGGAAAAGGTAGCATTTACCTCTGGGACCAAGAGCAGACTTGCTTACTGCTTGTTAAAAAAGAATGGATTCTCCAACACCACTATTTCTCATCTGGGATGTAATCCACTGCATATGCAGGCATCCATCTGGACCTCTGGCATTACATGGGACTTTGGGGACAAGAGGCACAAATGCCAACATGCGGATGCTCATCGTCTTGCTCAGCCATGAGGAAAAAATTAAGTTCTTTGTCTCTGATCTTCCATCAGCATCCAAGAAATAGTAACAAGCTAACTTATTAGCTTGCAAATGTCACAAAATAAATTCCCAGATGACAGTGTTGGTGACAAGTAAGGGATGTGAGAGAAAGAACATGAACTCCGGTAGTGAGTGCTCTTGCCCCAGTATGCTGGTAAGAGACCCCAGTGCACTCCCCATTAATGAGGCTGAGCAGAGATGGGGAGAACTGAAGCCAGCCAGTCTCCGTCTCCATGCTACCTTAGTGGCTGCACTCTCTTCTGGGTAGAAGGAAGAAGGGATGGAATCATGACAATGATGAGGGCACAAGCCTGGCATGGCAGCTACAACCAAGAAACAATACTGCTGTTGAATCAAGGCATCTCCACAGTGTAAACACATAGCGCCAACCATGAGGACCCAAATACAGAAGTTTGGGTAGAACAAAAGTACTGAAAGATTCCTTGAGTAAGTTGCATGCAGCTGCTCAAGGTGCAAGTCAAGTGTTTTGCTTTCAACTTGAAAGATTAGATAGGAACCTTCTGGGGCAGTGAGTTTGTGTTAATGGAGGAGGAACAACTCCAAAAGGGAGAGTGAGGATGATTACATAACTCAAAGAATGGAATCAGTATCACTGAATTGCACATGCAGAAACAGTAGAATTGGTGTGTTTTGCTGTGTACATTCTCAGCAATAACAAATACACCAGAATAGTGTTTTTCTTTGTGGAAATAAAGCCACTCTCTCCCTCCCTTTACCATGACTTCACCCCCTCTACCTCAACCCCAGCTACTTTAAAGAGTAAGATTATTAAAGAAGGGCCCCAAGTCTCCATGTCCTCAAAAGCAACATTCATTCCCATCCCACAACATCCAGTATGCTGGGGAAGTCCAGGGAGAAAGACCCGAACTCTTCCGGCTTGGTTGGATGCAGGTGTCCTACCAGTTCTGGGAAGGAGCTCTGGTAACGTAGTGGTTACAAATCAGACTGCGAACCTCAAGGTCAGCAGTTCAACACTACCAGCTGTTCCACGGGAGAAAGATAAGGCTTTCTGCTCCCGTAAAGATTTACAGCCTCGGAAACCCTGTACAGGGCAGCTATTAGTTGGAACCAACTCCACGGTTCATAACCACCACCAGTCTTGGGAGAGAGAATTTGCTAAGCATGGAGGAGTTGGGGGGGGGAGGGAGGCGCCTAAGATGTTGAGGAATGTGTGTAGGGGTGGAAACAAAAGGGCCCAGGAAATATACTGGGAAGGAAGTGGTGCCAAGCTATGGAGGGACTGAAGAAAGAAGCCTCTCCTGAGGCATGCCTACCAGACTCTAGAGTTCAAATCCCCACAGGAGGGGGACATACCCACATTTAACTGACAGGGCTGGAGCCAAATTCTCAGCGGGGAAGGGAAGCTAAAGTGATCTATGGGCAGAGCTCTGTGGGTACATCAATGACTTCTTGTTGCGGTTTCTGGTAAATGTGTAATTGGTATTGATCCTTTAAGTGTCCAACAAGATGACCCAGTTCAGGGACAGCTGCTTGTAAAGAGGTGACGCTTGTTCCTCCTAGGTGGTCCAGAAAAATAATCTAGAAATCCCAGGGAGAAAAGTGAAATCACAGGCTTCAAAGACTCAGCAGTGCTGGACTAATGAGAGAGGCCACTCCTCAGGACAACAGCGCCATCTGCTTGACCCAGGAACCACATACATCATTTTTTTAAAGGGCAGTTAAGCCTTGGGCTGCTATTTTCCAACCCAGCAGTCTTTCTGCGGGAGAAAGATCAGACAGTAAGCTTCCATAAAGATTTACAGCCTTGGGAGCCCTAGGGAGCAGTATTACTCAATAGTATTACGTTCCTATGAGTTCCAGTTGACTCGATGGCAGTGAGCTTGGGAAAGCACCTTAGTGGCACAATAGTTAAAGTGTTCAGCTGCTAATAAAATCAGTGGTTTGAGCCTACCAGTTGCTCTACAGAAGAAAGATGTGTCAGTCTACTTCCGTAAAGATTACAGTTCTATTCTGTCTATAAGGTCGCCATGAATTGGAATTGATAAGATGGTAATGGGTAAGATCAGCCCACTACCAAGCTTTGTTTTTGTTTTTGAAATTCCTGTCTAGCACTGAACTGCTATCTGCATGGTTCAAACTTACCAGCCACTCCTCAGAAACCCTATGCAGGGTCGCTAAGAGTCAAAACCAACTCTATGGCATTTAACAACAACTAAGCTTTTGTTGAAATTGAGTGCCTGGTCCATGAAGGCCTTAAGATGACACACTGGCCTGATAGCCCCACTTTGAAGCCAGTCAAATTAGACTCTATGGCTAACTTCTCAGGGTTTTGTCTGTCAAATGGAAACTGACAGATTCAAGAGTATCCTGGAAGCACCTTGGTTTTATATGATAAAGTAGCAGCTTCCCCTTTGAGGGAAACTAACTTCCACACCAACACCTAAAGCAAAGCCACTGGCTTAATAAAGCCCTAGGTTGACAGGGGTTCTCTAAATGCCTGTGTCTGGGTCAATGAGGGTTTTTGTTATTGAAAACAGCCTTCTAGTCAGTCTCTAACTCATTGCGCCTCCAGCTATGGACAACAGATCCAAACAATGCCCAGTCCCACACCATTCTGGAGGCCAGGGGTGGATTAAACCACTGTGATTCATAAGGTTTTCAGTGTCTGACTTTTGGAAGTACAGCACCGGGCTTTCCCTCTTAGTCTGTCTTCATCTGGAAGCTCCACTGAAACTTGTTCAGCATCAAAGCAACACACAAGCCTGCACTGACAGACAGGTGATAGCTGGGAATTAAACTCCAACCTACAGCACGGAGGTCTGGTGTGGGCTCTGCGTGATGATGTGCTGGATTGCAAGGTCGGTTTAAAGTGCAAGGTTGGCAATTCAAACTCACCAGCCGCTTCTTTTAAGCCCTATACAGGACTGCTATGAATCGGAACTGACTAGATAGCACTTAACAAAAACAACAACTTACAGCACGGAAAGTAAGAATTCTACCACTGAGTCACAGTGAAGTTCAAGTATCTTCTAGGCAGCATCAGAAATTGTCAAGAACTGAAATTGCTCCTCAAAAATCAACTCAAAAAGATCTCTGGGCCTACTTTCACCTCTTCACTTCCTCCTGACCCACACACAGTAGGGAAGCAGGGGGTTCTCCCATGCAGCTACCAACTGGATCCTCTTGTCTACCAACTGGGTAATGATCAGGATGCAAGGGGTGAGGAGCTAGAAAAACAGACAAGAGTGCTTCAAAAATTCATAGAAATTTTCCATTCTATTTAATTCCATTTTTTCCACGAACTTTTCAAAGGCCCCTCTCATCATGAAATATTGAGATTCTTTCCTGATCATTCCTGGGTATGAATCCCAAGATTCAGTTCTGTCTAGTTCAGCCTCGGAAACACTGTGCAGGGTCACTATGAGTCAGAACCTACTCCACGGTACTTAACAACAACAACAACAATAATGGAGTCCTAAGGAGCTCTGGTAGCGTAGTGGTTACGAATCGGGCTGTGAACCTTAAGGTCAGCGGTTCGAAAACTACCAGCCGCTCCGCGGGAGAAAGATGAGGCTTTCTACTCCCGTAAAGATTTACACCCTCGGAAACCCTATACAGGGTCGCTATGGGTCGGAACCGACTCGATGGCACTTAACAACAACAACAACAAGGAGCTCTGGTAGCATAGTGGTTATGAATTGGGCTGCAAAACACAAGGTCAGCTGTTCCGTGGGAGAAAGATGAGGTTTTCTGCTCCCATAAAGATTTACAGCCTCGGAAACCCTGTACAGGGTCACTATGAGTCGGAACCAACTCCACGGCACATGACCACAACCACTAGTTCATAGTTCAGTCTCCTGGATTGTCTTGTTGAACTGACATGGCCCTAGAGCATAAAGATAATGATGTTAGTTAGCGCACAGCTTGCATGCCTGCCCCCTTATGGGCCAAGATGCAAGACATAATGGGTCAATCTTCTAAAGAGTCTTGGTGGTGCAGTGGTTAAAGCACTCTGCTGCTAACCAAAAGATCAGCAATTTGAACCTTTCCACTGGGGAGAAAGATTTGGTAGTCTGTTTCCACAAAAAGACTTAGTCTTGGAAACCTTATGGGGCAGGTCATGGAATCAACTCCAATGCAGTGAGTTGGAACACCTCAGACACCCCATAGGTACAAGAAGGAAGAGGAAAACAAGCGGTATTCTCTTTGGTTTCTAGGCCCAGTGCTACAACCAAGTCCCACGCAAGTAGCGGCCGCTGTAGTTGTTAAATTGTCTTTGAACTATGGAAAACAGACATGGCTGGACTTGAGCTATTCTGATGTGCCAGAGGTTACATCAAAACACTGACTGCTTCCCCCCAGATTCTAAGAATGCCAATGCCACCCACCAGAACAAAATGAGTTCTTGTCAGAAGCAACCATCAATAACTTCAGTTTCCCCTCTACCGCACCCCCCGCCCCAACTCCTGATAATATCGCCCCGCCTCCTCGTGTCCAGAGCCAATCAGAAGTAGGCGTTCCGCCCCCCACCCAGTTGCCATGGTGCCAGCTAAGTTCCTCCCATCACTCACCAGATGTGTGGTGGCTCATCCAGACGGTGGAAACGGGTAGCGAAGGATAGCAGCGTCACCAGGACCAGCAGGGCCCACCGGCCGGCTGCCTCGAGGCGCCGCGAGCCCTGAGCAGGCCGTTTGGGGCTTCGCGCTGCATCTTCAGTGGCCATGTCTGGGCCCACGGTCCTAGCTGCCTGGGGTCCACAGCGACCCCGCCGGGCGCGCAGCTCAGACCCTGAGAGGCTTCCGCCCATTGCGGGCGGCATCTTTCCCCTCCTCAGAATAACCCTTCGGCCCAGCGGCAGGCTGGGTCTGGTCAGCCGCCCCGCCAAGAAATAACAAACGGGCAGCGCGGGGTGGCCCGGGAAGTGTAGTTCTCTCCTTCGGCAGCGGGGCGCTGAGTCCCGGGCTCTGGGCTGGGCGGGAAGCGTGGTCGCCGCCCGGGCCGCTAGGAGGCGGCTGCTGGAGTAGAGCATGATGGGACTGGTAGGATCGGGGAGGACTGGGCTGGCGAGAAGATGGGATCAAGGAACTGCACTTCCCAACAGTGCCCGGAGTGGGGGCGTGGCGGGAGGTCGGAGCGAACTAGAAGAGCGAGTTAAAATCATTCTAGTCTAGCCTTCGCTTTACCAAGAAGAAAGCCAAGAGTCTTCACTGGGTCTTAATCGACGGCAAGTCGGCGACTTCTAGGAGCGAAGTTTCTAGCCCTGGAAGAGGGGTCTGTAGAAGAGTGAGATGCAAGCTGGGAAGGTCTGTGTCACGCATCTAGGGAGGTGCGCTAGTTAGACTCAGAGAATTCTTAGGGAACGGGGTCAAAGGCGAGCCGCTCTGACAACGACTCCCAGAATGCAGTTTGTCGTGCCGGTCTCTCTGCGCCTGCGCACTGTCCGCTGGAGTCTGGCCCATGTTGGATCGGACCCAACCCGGTTGGAGCTTGCTGGAGGGAGTCGTGTCACTTTTCTCTCTGGTTCATACCTACTGCCCCGACCAATATAGGGTCTCCAGATGTTGCCCCTGGCCTCTCTTCCCCACAGTGCTGCGTGTTCCTCTACTAGGCGGTCAGCACTTTCTAACAAAGGATGGCCTAGGGCTGCTTGCTTTTGGAGACAGCATCTGGATGAGTGTAGACAATGGCCCATTAAAACAATCACTTGGGGAGCTTCCTGAGAACTTACAGGATCCCTTCTCAGGGCTACCTTACAAATCTGGAGAAAAGGACCTGGGTAAATAAGCACACCCAATGATTCTTAATCATACTAAAGCTTAAGGACTGCTGTTGTTAGAAAGATGGAATATAGCATCCCATTAACGTATAGAAGCCCTGTTTGCTCAATAGTTAAGTGCTTGCTAACCTAGAGGTTAGGGGTTTGAACCCACCACCAAAAGCTCCACAGGAGAAAGAGGGGGCAGGCTGCTTCTGTAAAGATTGACAGCCTTGGAAACACTCTGCCTTATAGGATCACTATAGGTTAGCAATGAGTCTTTTTGGTTGAATAGTTTTTGATTTAATCGTCCACTGCCATTGAGAGTCATTGTTGGTAAGTGCCACTGAGTCAGTTCACTCAGCTACCCGGTCCAGGGTTTCCAAGGAGCTGCTGGTGAGTTTCAACCGCTGACCCTGTGGTTCAAATTGACCTTGTGGTCCAGTGCTTTATCCCACAGTGCCACACCAGGACTCCATTGACACTCATAGTGACCCTGTTTGGGGTTTCTGCGGTTGTAAATCTTTATGGGCGTGCAGCTGGTGGGTCTGAACTACCAATCTTGCAGTTAGCAGTCCAGTGCTTATACTACAGCTCCAGTGTTGTTGGTGTTAAGTGCCCTTGAGTTGGTTCTTACCCATAGAGGCCCTGTATAGGGTTTCCAAGGAGCAGCTGGTGAGCTTGAACCACCGGCCTTGCAATTCAAATGACTTTAGGATTCCTTTAATATTGTATAGCCTTCTCATCTCCAAGTAGATTTTAGGTGTCTTTCTCAAAAATCACATGTAACAAATTGTTTAGAAATAAGATCTGGGAGAGTAATGTTATGCACTGTCAGGAATCCAGAATTGGATTGTAAACAAAATTCTTCCAGGAGTGGGTCTGAGATGAATACTTACGTGATGACGTGATGAGTTTACCCTAGCAATTTGCTTCCATAAAAATTACAGCTAAGAAAACCCTATGGGGAAAGTCTACTCTGTCATGTGGGGTTGCTATGGTCGAAATCAACTCTGTAGCACCCAACAACATCCGTGTCCGGGGTCCTGCTTTTAAAGGCACCAGCTGTAAAAATGATGTGGCAACAGCATCAGACCTCATTCTAGCTTCATATGAGGAAGGAGAGAAAATCATTATCAGCATCAGCCCAAGGCTGTAGGTCAAACCTACCTCCATCTGAAAACCTTTTTAACAATTCTGACACCAGCTGTCCCTGTACTTCTCTGGTGGGTTCAATAATTCACTGCTGTGGCCACACAGAACTCACAAACAATATGGTTATGGGTTTATTAGGGAAGGAACGGGTTACAGTTTAGGATCAGGACAACACAGGATACAGTTCTTTGGTCAACAGCTTCTTCTCAGCTATGCCCACAGGGAGGCCTCTCCCCAGCCTCTGCTCTCCTTCTGTGGGTTGGCATACCCTCTGACCCACTGTCGCTGCCTTCATGGGCTCACTCATCTCACACCAGTCTCCTGGATTAGCTGCCACCATTGTTCGCCATCTTACGCCATCTCTGATGTTACAGCGTTCTAGCTCCTGGGTCTTAGTGTAAGAAACATGGGTCCAAAGGACACGCTCCACTGCCATCTCTTCTTGGTGGTAGTGAGGTTCCCCTTCCCGCCTCTGGGGTGATGAGTCTTAAGCTTAGCTGGATGGCAAAATTGGCCAATCCCTTCCTTAGGGTTTCGTATACAATTGCAAGTTCCCACCTCACAAGAGTGCCAAGCACCTTATTTTTATTGTTGGCAAGCTGTCCAATTCCTGTGGTGCCATAGCCCTCACCAGCTGTTCCTCGGAAACCCTATGCAGGGTCGCTATGGGTTGGAACCGATTCGACAGCACTTAACAACAACAACAATCCAATCATTGGACTCCTGGTGTGGAGCTGTAGGATAAGCACTGGCCTGTAGACTACAAGGCCGGTGGTTTAAACCCACCAACCGCTCCTCAGAAATCCTATATGAGTTCAATATGAGCCAGAACTGACTCAACGGCAATTGACAACGATAACCCAATTATTTGGTAGGAGTTACAAGGCTATGGTTATTGTTGGTTGTTGGTAAGTGTCGTCCAGCTGACCCCAACCCATAGTGACCCTGGATAGGGTTTCCGAGCAGCAGCTGGTGAGCTTGAACCACCGACCTTGCAGTTCAGATGGCTCTGCAGTCTGGCGCATTAGCCCACAGCACCACACCAGGACTCCAACAAGTCATGGTTAGAGAGGTCTTATAAAAGTGATCCATTACATTACAACTGGTTACCCAAGAAGCACCAAAGAAATGAACTATTACATCTCTTTAAACTCAGCTTCTACCAGGGACCTAGAGGGAGCAAAAATGTGAGAAGTGAGCCAGGTAAGGAACATGGCAGATCAAAAAGGGGGCTACTAAGAGGCTTCAATTGTTGCTATTCAGTAACCCAAGCTCTCTCTGTCCAGATTTTAAAAGAAAAAACAGACAAGAGCATTTGTATATGAAACATCCCAATTTTTAAATGTTGGCCACTAATTAAAATGTTTTACGACATGGGTGAGGGCCAGATAGAACCACCATGGTAGCTTGCCACCTTAACATTGGAACAAATGGGCATACACATCCATGGCTATTTTAATGAGGCCAACGAGAGCCTAGAGGGCTAGTGGCTTGAAGGAGACATCACCAAAGCATCAAAGAATTAGAATCCCAGCCACTGCCAGAAGGAATCTAAGCTGTCACTTTAGGGCAACCCCTTGTTTTACAGACAGGGAGCTAAAGACTAGAGAAGGGATGGGGTTTGTCCAATGTCACACAGAACCCGATCCTGCCCTGGGATAGAACCCAGGTATACCAGCTCCCAGCCCACTGCAGCACAGAAATTACTGCCTCAGAAATAGGCCACCCTGTCTGCATTTGGGACACCAGGAAATTGGATGTTATTTTCATAAGCAACTTTCCACAAGTTGGAAAGATGCCCTTTCTGACCAGAGTCAAAGTTCCCCAGTTGCCTGTCTAGGTCTGCTTCCCCATTGGCTCATGGGAACCACCCCTTCAGAGTTCCTCCCCCTGCCCCACCACACTGAGAGACAGTTCCTAGGATCTGAGGGTCACCTCACCGGGGCACAATGGCTGAGTCCAGAAAGGTAAGGAATGCACTCCCCGGCTGGCTGCCCCTTCAGGGGCCTCTCCAATCTCAGGAATTCATGTCTGTACAGTTTAGATCCAAGAGACCTCACATAGTCTGTGGCTGCTGAACCAGAGTTGCTTAGATGCAGCTGTAAGGAAGGAGGCCCAGCAGGGTGGAAAAAAACTGCTGGCTCAGAGCACATTGGTGGGGGCCAGTGCCCCCTTTCCAGTGGGGCTCTTGGGGCTGGGAACCCACTGAGCATGGGTTAATGTGCACCCTCATCTTCTCTCTTCTCAGCCTGTCCTCTACTCCTATTTCCGAAGCTCGTGCTCATGGAGAGTTCGAATTGGTAAGACCTGTGCCTCCACCATTCCGTGCACCTGGGTGGATGGGTGGGCTGGACAGAGCCCGGCCTGCAGAACTTACGTGGAACAAAAGGGTGCTCTTGTCAGGAAGGCTTTCCCCTAACAACCAGCATCTTCAGTCTCCTGGATACCCCATCCCTGAATGGCACCTCCGGGCGGAAGTCCAACAAGAGGAGCCAGGAGTGGGAGGAAAGGGGCTGATTTTTCTCTGGGAACTGACCACACTGCCCTCCAGAGCTCCTTAGCAACCATGTTTAAAGCAGGCTCACAAAATCCAGAGGCCCCTGGTAACTGGCAGGGGAACAGCTGGCGTTGCTCAGTTCTTATCTTATTTGGTCTGACAAATTAAACAGAACTGGGCCAGGCCAGTGAGTGAGAGCCATGTCAGCCCATTGGTTTTGGAGAATGAGGAACTAGGGCCCTCTGGTTTATTCCCTTTCCTCAGCTTCATCCAGCCCTTGGCAAAGGCCATCCTCTCGGGTGGCAGCTCATAATGAGGGAACGCTCTGCTAAGTGCTTTTGTGTGCATGATTCCATTTCAACCTGAACAACCCTGGGAGGGAGGCACAGACGAGGAAACTGAGGTACACTGACCACAATCATGCAGTATGAGGCCAGAGAGCTGGAACTTAAAGCGAGGGAAATGTCCTAAAGTCCGTGTTCTGACATTATGCTGCCTGTCACTCGTTCAAGACCATAGTTAGCAAATGAATTTGATGAAATACGAACTTGGGCCGCCTGACTCTGGAGCCTGGCCCGAATGGTTCAGGCTCCTTCCAAGACCCCTGTCCCTACACTTCAGTCACTTGGTATGTGCTAAAATCAGTAAGACAGGAGCACTGAAGGATCAAAGAAAAGGCTTCCAGGGAGACTCCTTCCCCTGGCTGGGCGGAAGTGAAGCCTTGTGAGTACTGTCTCAGCAGGGCCTATTGACACTGCCCTCTTCCATCTTCTCCAACACCTCTACTTCCAGAGTGGAGCAGCAGAGGGATTCCCACACTCGCTGGCTTCAACTAGGTCTCCTCTTATTCTCCTCCCTGGCTTCTTTGCCCTTGTTCTTGAAATCCCATTACCTTTTCACCCACAAGTATGCATCTACATAATCTCCTTTCCGGTTGATTCAAGCATGTTTACTAATCTGCTTCCCCTAGAGAAAACGCCCAAGGGGGCTGGAGAGGAAATGTAGGCACCGGAAGTCCCAGCAGTGCTCTGGGACCACCCAAGAGCTCTGCTGTTTCCCTTGGAATCCATAGTCAACAGCCTTGAGGACAGAGCTATCAGAGTGAATAGATCGGAAAGGGGTTCTCTGATCAGAAAAAGTGGCATCTGCTCTTGGGTGCTGTGTGGTCACTTGAGCAAGACAAGCATGCTCTTTGGGGGAGTTGTCCCTTAGACACTGTAGTAGGGAGTACTTGCATGCATCCAACAAATGACACTGTTGAAGCCCCATGGTGAGGGGATGGAGAAAAGGGGATGAACAACACCAGGCACACGCCTTTGTAGCACTGTGGATGCAGAGAGTGAGGACAGGATCATAGACCTGGTGTGGGCATGAATGGTGCAAGGAAAGCTGAAGCAAAGGCAATAGAGCCAACCTGGGCCTCAGACACCCAGCAGGAACCGCACTGTGCGACCTGATGTCTCCCTGGGAAGGGCTGTCCCCATGCTGGTTCCGCCAGAGGTCATCCCCTGACTTTGTTGTCTGCGGTCTCCCCCAGCTCTGGCCTTGAAAGGCATTGACTATGAGACAAAGCCCATCAACCTTGTGAAGGATGGGGGACAGCAGGTAAGGAGGCCACCCCGGGGTTAGGGTGTGGGAACAGGGCCTTGGGAAGGTATGCAGACTTCTGCCTAGATAAACCTGCACACTGTGGTTCTCACAGCCAGGACATGATTCCAGGCTCCACACCGCAGCCCAGCCTCTCCCTGCCCGGCTCCAGGAGGAGTGGTAGCCGGCTAGGGTAGAGGGAAAAGCACACAACCAGGCTGGTGGGATGATGCCTGTAACTCAGCAGCCCTCGGGGGCTGGAATGCACACATCTCCCTGGACTCCTGCCCCAGGAGCCAGGGCCTTCCCCTGGGCAGGGGGCCTGGAGGGGTGGCCAAGCTGGGGTGGTCCTCCTGCTTGCCTGGTTCTCTAGGTAGTTCAGGCCAGACCACTCAGCCCATCAGCCTTGTCTCCACAGTTCTCTGAAGAATTTCGGGCACTAAATCCCATGAAGCAGGTACCAGCCCTGAAGATTGATGGAATCACCATTGGCCAGTCAGTGAGTGTGGACTTGCTGGAGCCTTTGCATGAGAGGAGGACCTTACATTTCTTCTTGTTTATGTGTGGTCAGGGTGCCTTGCACATAGAGGAAAGGAGAGAGGGAGTGAGAAAAGTTGTCCTGGGAAGTGAGCGGGGAGACTCAAGCATGTGGGGATCCAAGGTCTGCCGCGCAAGAGCTCAGAAAGAAGGCTTCCTCAGGGAGGCCTTGCCTTTACAGGGCTCCAGCTCAGGAGGGAGCAGGAGTTTTCTGGCCCTGTTTCCTCTGGTCCAGGGGTCCAGGGCCCTCTCCCTACCTCACTGTTCCTCTCTGAACAGCTGGCCATCATTGAGTACCTGGAGGAAACTCGGCCCTCTCCTCGACTCCTGCCTCAGGACCCAAAGAAGAGGGCGAGCGTGCGCATGATTTCAGACCTCATCGCTGGTGGCATCCAGCCTCTGCAGGTATGGCCTTTATAGCCCTGCATCCTCTTAACACGCACACC